ATTATATTGTGTCAACTACAGATGCATGATTTTTCTCCATATGCATGCGAAAACCACTCAACCATCGAAAGCCTTCCCGGCACTCTTCACACCGATAGCTAAACTCTTCGAACGCCATGGTTTTCTTCGGTCGAAAGAATTCTTTCAGCTGCGGATTAGTCTTCTTCTCCTTGCGCCACTGCTGCTTTTTCTCCTGGTCACTCCCGATAAAATGCTGTTTTTTCATATGCAGCTGCAAGGTTTCCACCCCACCCATCGGCTTACCACAAACCGAACACGGGAATTTGATGGCGGGCTCTTTCGGTTGACTGCGGCGCCATGGGATCTTCGCTGCTTGCTGTCGTAGACATCCTCGCAGATGCCGCTCCAGCCGCTTCGCCGTGCGACACACCTTCCGACAAATCAGACAAGCACGACTGGCATCATGGCTGCGAAAGTGCTCTTGTAGGTCTGGGTAGCTGCTGAATGTGGCCGTGCACTGTGGACAGGGAAACGCATCGTCCACCTTATGATCCGTTACGTGCAGGTCAAATTTTTTGAAACTCGCGATACTCGTGTTACAGTATAAACACATCCGTCCCGGATTTTTATGCGCTCTGTCCACGTGCTGCTTCAGGGCGTAGGCCGTGTCGAAGGTCTTCTGGCACTCGTCACACTGAAAACACTGACGCTGCTGCCGCTGCTGCATCACGTCCGCATGGACCCGCTCCATGTGCACGCGCAATTTGGAACCACCGTGGTTAGTAACCGACGTGCCACACAGCACACACGGCTGCTGGGCATATGTGGCGAACCCGTGGATCCCCACATGGGCGGATAAATCCGTAAGGCTGGCGGCGGTGTACTCGCAGGCGGGACACTGGCGCTGCTCCTCGCCGTCCACGGCATCATCGTGTTGCAGTGTGTGGAGATCCAACAGGGATTTTCGGCTGAAATTCAACCGGCACACCGTGCAGCGGAAATGCAGGAAACCAGTTTCGATAATGTACGCTGCAGCGGCTTGCTGATCGGCTTCGGAAACTGCGACAGAGTTAGGATGGGCCTGTAATTTGCAACAATAAAATTTACTAATTCACGTAATAAATCATTACGCTGTTACTGTGACATCGCGATTTTATTACACAAGATGTTAGATTAAAGGGGCCACCGATTACTCCGGCCGTTTTCGTTTCGGCAACGTTCATTTCGGCCGACGATTACTTCGGCGTAAAAAATATAATGAACCCTAAGGAATTCAAGGAGCTGAAGAAACATAAGAAATCATACGAAAACAAACAAAAAACAGCAAACATAAGAAACCATAAAAAAACATTAGTTGGCCGAATCGAGTGCTGGCCAAAGTAATTCTGTGCGCCCGAGATGGAACGTGGCCGAAATGATCGGGAGCGGACAGCTTATGCTGGTTGTAGAATGGTATTAAGATTTTGTGAATCCCGAAAGTGAATGTTACAATAGGTAAACGATACCGGTACATACACTTGGCATATAACGGTAAATTCTCTTAAAATCAAAGCCCAACTGATTTCGCAATCATCGGTTGTTCTGAGATTCTTAGTACCAAATTACACATATCGCCGATGGACCTCACCCGAACCACGTGCGACCGTAATCCTTTCTGTGTGAGAAACGCTCTCTTGCAATTCGTCTGCTGACACGAAATAAGCTTTCCAACCAGTTCTGGATGGTTTTCCCGGTAGTGTTGCTCAATTTTTTCACACTGACATCCGCAAACTGGACAGTGGGTGGCGACCGTCGGGAGCCCGAGCCGAGGTGTGTCCGGTTTCCGCTTACGCGTCGCTGACTTTCGTGGATTTTTGTTTGTACCACAGACCACGGAGTTGTGAACGCTCTGCAAATTTCATTCATCAAAATGTAGGTAATCCACATAATGTAAAACAATGCGTGATACCTATGCAGAACTAAAATAGTTTTCTGAAAGAGCTCTACTGAAAGGAAACGGGGTCATGTACGCTACCAAATTGGTGCACAAGCTACACAACGTATGACAGAAACTTCCGCTTTCGCGAACTCCACACACTCTGTGCCGTTTTATGTTATTCCTCAATCAAACCATTTTTACATTTTGGCACGAAAGGCCGCCTGTATGCGCAACGCGCGATTTCTGTGATATGCGAATTAAAATACACTTTAAGCAAAACGTTTGAACGCACTATCGTGCACCAAAGGTCAGGTCACCACCCAATATTTGTGAAACTTCCCTGCAAAATTCACATAACTGAAAAGCAGAATCTGAACCAAAACCAACTGTGTGGCGCTTTTGTCACACTTTAAAATGCATTCGAGAAAATTCAAAACTCGCTTTGAAACTGTAGGAAGATTATTATGCTACCGGAAATGTTTTGCTTCCTTTAGAAAACTTTGCATTTTGTAGTCTCAAGAAAATCGGATCATAACCTGACTTTGATAATATGGCGCATGAGAACGCGTTTAAACTTTCTGCCCATTTTAGTTCGCGATACCGCTCAGCAAATCGGATGTTGGGCGCAAAAACGCTTTTCAGGCTAGTAATCATGGAATAAAGATTTCGGCGTTCGAGAAAGTTTCACTAGATGTATACAATACTGGTACCCTGAACCGGGCCATTTCCCGTGAATTCAAAGTAACTTAAGTTCGGAATCTTCGCTTTGCTGCGGCGGAAAATTTTTAGTACCCTTAACACTTGAATAAATTAGTAGTTAACTCACCCCCAACAAGTGGTCCCGTAAGTTTCTCTGTGTTAGAAACACTCCCCGACAATCCGCATGACTACAGGGAATTAGCTTGGCAACCACTTCTGGATGTTGTACGCGGCAATGCTCCTGAATTTCTTTATAGTATCTCTTGCAAACTGGGCAATGTGTGCCTGCCTTCGGGACCCGGGCCCTGGGCTTTGACCTGCCCGGCTTGGGATTATGTTGCGCAGAGGTCTTATGATTATGACGCGTATCCTTGACGGTCTTCGACGGTGAACCGTCTTTCCCTCTCTGTGAAGCACACGGATTCCGTCGTTTTGCCGCCATTCTTAATCTGGACCAGTCATCACATCCTTCATCGGCTCCCTCGGATTCAGATGCAGACGCCGCGCATTCAACATCCCACTCCGAAGAAGAATCCTGGATCATCTCCCCATCGGAAACTGCATTGTTTAATACAAACTGTTCGTCATGATAACTTATCGCGGGGTCGTCTTCTGCTGACGGCAATCCGTTTGCTTTCATCTGCGATGCCGTCGCAGGTGTTAGTGTTTCTCTTGGTTTTGGACTAGTGCTGCGATCCTGCGGTTTGGTTGTAGAATACTGCGGCAGTTTCGATAAGCGCTGACTGCGTCGTAGTGACGGGGCAGCCAGTTCGGTATCAGCGGAAATATCAGGAGAATGGCGCAGAGCAACGCCCTGAACCGACGCAGATAACAATGTTTCGCTAGCCTGGGCGACAATCGCCTCCGCCGGTAAACAATCCGCAGCGTCCTGAGGAAAATCCCGTTTGCTACGTTTCGTTGTTTTCTGACCCTTTTCAGCTTTTCTCTTGCGACCTCGGGGAGATTTCGCAGGATATTCGTCTCCTACACCATATCAAAATCATGATATAGTAGAATGCTATACAAAATTACACAACAAACAACTGACCCGGCGATTTAGAAAATCTCTGCAAATTAAACGGTGAGTTGAGGGTCCCTTCTCCTATTAACTCGGATAAATCTTTCGTTTAAAACCCGCATCTTTACTTAAGCGATGCATACTTGCATGGTTCATAAGTAAAGCTATCGCAAAACTATTAAATTTTCGGCCTAACGTATGATCATCGGCTTACCGGAGCATACTGCGACATCTCCCGCATGGACACTTTTAACATGCCACATCAAGCTGCCGTGTGTGCAATACCCGGTCTGGCACTGACGGCAGCGATACGGCTTCTTGTCCCACGCGACGCGGCATCGGTTCTTGCTCAGGTGCAGATCCAGCGCCGTAAATGATTTCCCGCAGTACGGACACACTTTCGCATGGTCCGACGGCAAAGCGGCGCCTGGATGGTTCTGATCCATATGCCGTACCAGCCACTTCCGGAAAAAGTACCGCCGAGGACAGTGTTCGCAGGGGAAGGGCCAATCCGCCCAGATGACCTCCAACTCCTGGGGGTGTTCGGCTTCAAAGTGTTCTCGCATGCGGCTACCTCTGACACGGCAAACTTCCTCCTTGCACAACGGACACCGCATCCAGTCCTCCTGCTGCAGTGCGTGCTGGATGACATGCTCGGCCAGCTGTTGAAAGTCGCTGGCGGTGAAGTCACAGGCTGGACACTGGCGCTGGCTTGGCGGTTCGGCGGGTGGGGTATGGGTGGCGTTGTGCAGCTCCAGGAGGGAATGTTGCTGAAAGTATTTACGGCAGGATGCGCAGTAGAACAGGAAGAAACCGGTGGTGCGCATGTAATCGATGATGGACGCGGTGATCTCGGCCGAATTCACGCCATTGGACGTCTCCAAAAATGGATCTCTGCTAGGCATTGCCTCAGGCAGAGTATCGGACAACTGTTCAGTGGTCGTTGTCAGTGACGGGGAAGGACACGGGAGCAGCACCTTCAAAGGGCCCGACAGGTTTGGCTGATCGTTCTCTCCAGCTGGCAAGGACTCGCGAGAGGAAGATGGATACGGGGAGCCGACAATGCCGGCTTCCATGTCATCGCACACGTTCACTAATGATTCTATACTGACAATTTCCGCAGGCGGAGCGCTATACGACGATCCAATCGCCGGTGTCGGTGGTGACGAGCCACACGGAGACAATGCAGTTCTAGAATCCGATGGGTCATACTGATCATGATCTCCAACAAGAAAGCTTTCGGCAGGGGAAGACACAAATAAGCCGTCTATATTGGTGTCGTGGCTGAGCATATCGGACTGGCCGACATCTGGCGGTAAGAAACTGCACTGTAGAGAACCCTCTAGTGCCCCATTCATGGCTAACGCAGTACACGGCGATGCGTAATCAACAGGATGATTTTCATGCGCAACTCTTTCCGTGTCAGCGCCATTCACCGGCTCGCACTGCGGTAAAATAGGTGGGTCCCGGTTATCGATGCCGAGCAGCAATGATAACGTGTCGGTCGTCCAGTGGTCAGCGGCGGGCCAATCTAAACCAGGATGCAAAAATTACTGATGTTTAGTAGAACGCAAATTTACTATACCATATATTAAATCAAACAATCAACAAAGAGTGTGAAAAAGGATAGCATTCAATGCGTATAATCGCCAAATAATCATATCAAACAGACACGCGCTGATTTGCGCAGTATGGGTTACATCGAAGCATCAGTTTTCTTAACCCGGCACTGCACAATTCTCCTAAACAACGCACCGTTGTTTACTCCATCTTCGTCGGCTTCCGCTGGTGAGAGCAGTTCCCTCTCACTACTGTCCGTATCTAGTACAAGAACCTGCTTCGGCTTCTACGTTAGCTAGAAACTGGCAAAATTGCGAAGGATAAAACTGGATTACAAAAACACTTCCAAAATATGTTGCTGTTAACAATTTTCAAGGTATGCCTTGAAAGAAAAGGCTTTACGAAAAATATTTATACAGCAATAATATTCTGAACCGCGGACCGACTGGCCGGCCTCCACTTTTTATGTTACTTTATCACTGACTCAGTGAACTTACCCGTGTCAATAGCCCGCTGACAAGCAGGTTTCGCTTTGGCCAGTTTCTTGCGCAAAACTACTCCGCCGTCGTGTTCGTGCTGAGAAGCGTCATGGTCCGTTGCACACTGCAGGACATCCTTTCCCGCATCACTTCCACCGCACTCGCGCACATGTGCTTCCAATCCAGCCGATCCCTCACGAATAGATACGGACCCATGGCAGCGTTCCATATGTCCCGTCATGCGGATATACCGGTCAAAGACACTCGTACACTGCGGACAGGGATACCGGCCGTCGACTCTGTGCTGCGTCGGATGCACCATGTGATTGGTCATCAATACACCGCAATACACACACTTCCATCCCTGATGTTTCCTTAGGATATGAGCAGCCAAACCCTTGACGCTGTTAAAGCCCCGATCACATTGCCGGCACCGGAACGTCCCTGACGACACCGCATTGTCGCCGGTATGTCGCATTTTAACGTGGTTCAGCAGAGATACTTCCGTCATGAACCCGGGCGGGCTTTCTTCGCAGTGATAGGTCAACTCCATCAAGCGACGAGCCCGCCGTCTTAGTTCCTGTTTGGTGACATAATATTTCCTTCTCAGTTTCCGTTTCTTCCGTGCTTCCATCTGGTCTTCCGCCGTTCCCGTAACACACAATTCCAGATGCTTGTACAAACCATTGATGCCCGCCAACACCTTACCGCAGTGCTGACACGGCGTCGGCGCGTTGCGGTCCGGCACGGTCTCGCGACTGTCCCCTCGTTCTGTGTCATGTGCCAAGCTGACATGGCGCACTAACCGTGCGCTGGAAAAGAACATCTCCCGGCAGTCCATCTCCATGCACTGCCATTCCCAATCGGCGCAAATCGCAGCAAACTCTTCGGGGTGCTCCTCATCTACATGCCGACGCATTTTATGATACCCATTTCTATGGCCTAGATAGATTGATTCGCCGCAGATCAAGCAGGGCAGCCAGTTTTCCTTGATAAAAACGTGCTGGTTAATGTGCTGGAGCATGTCCACACCGGTGTAATCACATTCGGGACATTTCTCGGCCGGTTCGTCAGTGTTGCCGGCATCAGTCGGAGGATGACACAATTTATTATGCAGGTCGAGCAAGGGCTTCGTTGGGAAAGGGCTGCGGCACGGGGGGCAGAAGTAGTAGAAATAACCGGTGGTTTTCATGTAAGCGCAGGCGACTGCGATCTCCGCTGGTGATGGCAGGGTAACGGGTTTTTCAGGCACACCGTGTCGTCCACCATACGCGTGCAAACGGAAAACGTTGGGAGATGCTTCCGCGCCATCGGCGTTATTCTGACCGCTCACCGCATCTTGTTTGTTCCGCGCTGCCAATTTCTTCGTTGATTTTAATCGATGATCTACTTCTAAAAAAAGGAAGAACTTGAGGCGCTGAACTGTGCAGGGCGCATGTACTTTCCGCTTAAGGCGTGTTAATTAAGGGTAGCACGAACATTCCGCGAACGGTGAACATGGCGACTACAATTTAGTACACTATTGCTGTCCCGTAAAGTGGTTTAGTCACTGTAGCACAATAACAGTAATCACATCCACGGCTTGGTAGTAATACGACTGCAATTGCATGGCCTTAAAACTGCATAACCTGGGTTCGTTCGAAAGGCCGGAAACGGGAAATTGTTACCTCAGAAAACCTAACCCATCAAGTGTAAACTTTTGCAGTTAATCACGAACGTTTTCAAATCGCCTGCACGATAAAACTGTTAACAGAGTTTGACTGACGTAGTGCGGTAACAGTATTGATCACAATAATCATAATCAAATAAGAATCATAATACTAATCGCAATAACAATAATCACAATTAGAAAATCATAATAATCACAATAACCTGCTGTTGCTGCGAATATCTCACCAGTTCGAGGAATGGACAGGGGCTGCACAAGGGCATCGATTTCATCATCAGCAAGCAACTCTTCTGTACAAAAGAGGGTCGTATCAAGATCTTCCGTGTCCTCAACTAGCGCAGGGATCATGGAACGCGCCGGTACGATCACAGGACGGCAGCCAGTCGCAGAAGGCGTGCCTATAATATAACGTCCAACATGAACGTTCCGCCAATATAAGCTGAGTAACAATAATAATCGCCATAACCTGGAGGGGCTGCACAAATCTTTGCAGTACGAATATAAGGCGACGCTGACGCGCGGGCATTCGTTCCCCTATCAACACGTTCCGCTGTTGCGCACAACCGGGTCGTGTCGCCGAATCCCGAGCCATCCTGCACCGCTGGACTAACAGAATTCCCCGGACTGGTTGCAGACAGACAGCCAGCTGCATCCGGATCCGCTTCTCCGTACGGCAGTCCCGTGTTACGGTGTTCGGTGCTGTGCAATCCCCAGGGATCGCTGTCCACCCAGCCCAACAGTTCTTCTTTGACGGCACGCACCGGTAATGCTATTAATTCGTCCGCCTCCGAGGTGGCAATTAAGGCAGGATCTCCAACACTGGATTCCGTCTGGGGAAGGACCGGATCATCCGGCTCGTGTGTCACATCGGCGTCGAGACGGTCGTCTACAGAAACAAATGTTGCATGTGCGAATTAAGCCGATTCTGACCTCCACTCAGTGCGGCCTAGGCCATCATTACCCGCATTTTCCCGAAAATCCTGGACAGCAAGCAAGTTCTCTTCCTCCAAGGAAGCGGCTGGTGTTCCATCTAAAAACAGGCGGAAAGACGTGGTACATAAAAAATGCGATCCTTGAAGACCATACCGAAGAAAATGCTACCCGAGTTTTCCGGCAAATCCTCACTGTGAGCAGAAAACGCATCAACTGCCTCCGACCCAACCGCTGTCGTTTGCCCTAAAGATAATGCTAAAAATCAGAGGTATGTCAAAAGGATGAACAGGAGTACAAATCTAAAAAAATCAAGCAGGCAGATTAAAAGAGCTTGGAAGTGCGGGATATTGCGGTGAGCGTATTCTGTTCCTTCTCACTCTATTCGGAAAAGGTATTTTTACCGTTCAGCCTTTAAAAGGCGCCTGCATGCGAATAATGGATATGCGATAAATGGTACTACTACTCACTCCGTGCGACACACACGAAAACTTTCGCTTTTGCACAATCTCGAACACGTTTTGCATTATTGTAGCTATTGTATGACAGTACCCAGAGACTGAAATAACTCTGCGTGAAAAGTGATATACGGTTAGGGAATTCTGCCTACTGGAAAGCTCCAAAAAACTAAACGCAATCAACTGAATCAAGTATACAAAAAGTCTCGTTACAACGTCATAAAATAGGCAAAAAGGTGCTTTGGATTTCACGAAAGTGCAGTTTTCGTGCATGTAAACGAATCTGCCTTATGTACCGGCACATCCCTTAATATAAAAACAATAAGGCTTTAGTCGACCAAACAATCACCGGCTCTAAGACTTACCAGAGCCTACTGGGACATCTCCCCCATGGGCTTTAACAACGTGGTGCATGAAACTCCCGTGAGTGCAATACCCGGTCTGGCACTGTTGACAGCGATACGGCTTCATGTCCCACGCGACGCGGCACCGGTTCTTGCTCAAATGCAGATGCAGCGCCGTAAACACTTTCCCACAGTACGGGCACGTCTGCGTGTCTTCCGGTGATAAGGAGGCGCCGGCATGCATCTGGCCCACATGTCGCACCAGCCACTTTCGGAGAAAATACCGCCGGGGACAGTGTTCGCAGGGGAACGGCCAGTCCGCCCAGATGACCTCCAACTCCCGGGGATGCTTGGCTTCCAGGTGAACTCGCATGGCGGCATCGACCATACGACCAACTTCCTGATTGCAAAAGGGACACCGCACCCAGTCGTTGCGGCGCAGTGCGTGCTGGAGGACATGCTTGGCCAGCTGTTGGAAGTCGTCGCCGGTGAAATCACAGACTGGACATTGGCGCTGACTGGGCGGTTCGGCGGGCGAGGTATGGGTGGCGTTGTGGAGCTCCAGGAGGGAAAGATGCTGGAAGGTTTTCCGGCAAGTAGCGCAGTGGAACTGGAAGCAACCCGTGGTGCGCATGTAATCGATGATGGACCCGGTGGACCCCGCGGAATCCATGCCGACAATAGCAGCTGTCGTTGGTCAAGCAGGCGGATCAATGGTCAAGGTGGGACCGGTGGCAGGAAGTGCACTGGTTAGCGATCAGCGGCGCAGATTAGTCATAGCGGAATTCCGATTATCTGGTGCTCGCTCCCTTCCCAATCTACATGTAAATTCAAAAATCTGATTAATATATATCAGCCAATTAAAGCCATGATATGAGAAAAATTATTTCACTGTGTTCGTAGAAAATCTAAAATGCTCTTCTAAATTGTTTCTAAAAGCGCGTCTGACTGGTGAGCACAAACCAACACATGGTTAAAGCGGGAAAAGAGTAAAGAAGTGTACGCAGGACTGATCTAAGCTAAACTGCGCCACGCGCTAAATACCGTGACTGCGCTAAACCACTGTCTCTACTGGAAGGCACGGCCGGACTTCGTTAGAACTTTGGATATTACAATTTCAGTTCACTTGCCACGGTTTTTTTCTTACTAAAACCAAATGCAGGACTCAAAATTAGCGAATTTTTTTATCTAGAACACATTTTTAATTTAATAACGGAAAAGTTCAAAACAAATTCCGACTGTCGACTACAACGACCATGGTTGGTAACAACAGAGCCCAAATTAAAAAGTTATTTTATGCATTTCGAATACGCTGATTCCGAATATGTTGTCGGAAAAATGTTTGGATCGCCAGTGATTCGCCACCTAACAAAAATTCTTTTCTTTTCTAATTGCAGCGCAGTGAGCGCACTATGAAATCAAATTTTTGACCGACCGCGCTCGGTGACGGTCAGAAAATTTTTCTGGCAGTTCGTTTTGCGTATACAATGGTCGCCTTTGCTCTACGAGAGTTACCATGCATTTCCCTACCCGTTTCGTCGTTTTCCCAGGGTCGGTCTTTTTTGCATGGGTTCGTAGTTTTTTCTATAAATTGTCTTTGTGAATGGTTGTTTCGCATAAGAAAAAAAACGAAATTTAAAAAAATACTAAAATATAATTAAACAAAAACCAAAATGAAATAAACAAACAATACATAAATAAACATTTCTACTCCAGTATTTAATAATTATTATCAGATCTGTAGGGGCCTCCATAATAAGCTCATTTCCCATTCTGTTGAAAATAAGCCCAGAAAAAGAAGAGCAGCAAAAGAATACATCAGATACACGGTAACATGTGATTGTGGACTGAATTAAAACTCAATAAAAACGCAGTACTCCATGATTCATTCTTGATTTACTAATGATTGTAGCTAAAATTAACTTAAACACTCGTACGGTCGTACACGTACCCCTTGAAAGCGAAAAATGGCGCACCTGCCGAACTCTCCGAAATCAGTCCCGCTGTTGCAACAACGAAGAACGGGAAACATTGCTTGCGCAGTGCCAGAGCTGAGGTATCACTAATTACGATGAAAAACAGATAAATGAATGGGGAACAGGATACTCCGTAGTCCGTACAAACTTATTCAGGTGCTCGCGGTTGACAACTAACAAGTCTCTATACACGGTTCCTACAGGATTTGCAGTCTTACTGTCACTTACTGCTTACAGGCGAGAATGCTGATTGCACTTTGCAATCCACGATACATAACCGAATGAGAGCACGCTGCTTCATACGATCGTCACGAATTTCACTGGACGTGAAAACTACAGCGTTACACTGGCAAGCGGAAACCGAACACAAACGAAAACAAAAGTCGCAATTCTCAGCTCCTCAGAATCCAAACAAGAAACTAAAAATGGCAAAACACTATTGAGTCTTGACTCTTGACTGTTTGCAAATTCAGTGTAAAGTGGTGCCATGGGGTGGCAGCATGCAACAGTTTGAGTTGAGAATCGGAAACGGAAGTTGAGAAAAGCACGTGCCTCGCGCCCGGTGAAGGTCGATCAAGTAAGTACTGTAAGGCCTTGTCCCGAATTCGAAGCGAATCTTGTTGCGATACAGCAACTCCACCTCGCGAGGTGGCTTCGCGTACCGTATCTGTAGGCGTGGCCACTGCATACAGCCACCTCGTGCGGTTGAGCAACCGTACCAAAGCTAGATTCGCTTCGAATTCGAGACGAGGCCTAAGTGCTGTAAGTGCGCTGTGCGACGAAAATGGAAATTTAATATTTTTACAGTCATGAGAATTTGTCAGTTTGAACCTGGGTTAACCTCGCTGACGACAGAAAACTCATAATTATATTAATTTTGTTAAAAATTTTCCAGACCAATCGGATAAAATTATCTAACTTATTATCTGAAAGTACTGATCTCGAGTTATCGGTGAAAGGAAATAACTTTTTTGGTTTTTTTATGGGTTGCCGGCCCGCACGTACTGTAGAAGTACTTATCGTTAACATTAAAACTAAAAAGCCAAAAAGCCGATACCACCCCTATCCCCTGGCTTATTACGGCAATACTTGAATCCGCCCTAAACAGAAGTGCATTTTAAATTTTTCTTTAGTTTAAAACCACAAAAGACAACTCACAACCGCTTCTGCAGCCCGTAAGCATGAAGAATTTCAGTGCTTATTTGCTAGTAAGCCATAGAAGCATTCGTATCGCGTACGGATATGTGAGACGTCGGTCAAGCGCTGCTTTATTGTGACAGCAAAGACGATGGGGTCAAATGCTTTGTTAAGACAAAACCTTACCGACATAGTCACATAGCGAAACAGAAAATCCAGCTAAACCACGGAATTACAAAAACTCAAAATGCATAATACTGCATCCCCTTCGAGACCGGAGCACAGTAGTTACATAAACAAAATGCGTGTCAGAAGTTTTTCCCTCCCGACGCATGCTTTTTCTCAATATGGCTGAGCAGACTCTCCCGCCACCGAAACCCTTTCCGGCACGCTTCGCAGCGATGATTAAACTCTTCAAACGTCATGGTTCTCTTGGGACGGAAGAAGGCCTTCAGCTGCGCGTTGGTCTCCTTCTCCTTCTTCCACTGCTGCCGCTTCTCCTTGGCGCTGCCCACAAAATGACGGCTTTTCATATGCCAGAAGAGCTTCTGCATCCCCACCAGCCGCTTATTACATACGGAACACGGGAACTCGATGGCCGCCCCGTCGTCCAACTCGGGACGTTCCCGTTGCCGTGTCGGCGCTTTCTGTTTCACACAATGTCGCAGATGACCTTCCAGCCGTTTCGCCGAACGACACACCTTCCGACAAATCAGGCAAACACGACTGGCATCATGAATGCTAAAGTGTCCTCGTATGGCCATGTAGGAGCTGAAGGAGGCCGTGCACTGCGGACAGGGGAACACACCCTCCACCTTATGCTCCGCCACATGTACGTGGTACTCTTTGCAGCTCGCGAAATGCGTGCAACAGTACAGACACATGGTTTTCTTATGCGCGATGTTGACGTGCTGCTTCATGGCGTAGGCCGTATCGAAGGTCTTCTCACACTTGCCACATGGAAAACTCTGCAGCTGCTTCCGCTGCAACATCACGTCCGCATGGACCCGTTCCATGTGCACGCGTAAATTCTTACCGTGATAGTTCAAAATCGATTTACCGCACAGCATGCACGGCTGGCGCTGCCTAAGCGACATGGCGAACCCATGTACGTTGACGTGCTGGGATAAATCAGTGAGGCTGGCAGGCGTGTATTCACACGCGGGACACTGACGCTGTTCCTCGCGGTCAACGGCACTGTCGTGCTGCAGTACGTGGAGGTCCAACAGGGGTTTTCGACTGAAATTCAACTGGCACACCGTGCAGCGGAAATGCAGGAAACCGGTTTCGATAATGTACGCCGCAGCAACTTGCTGATCGTCTTCCGACACCGTGGTGTTACCGGTGGGATGGGCCTGCAATTTTTAGCGATATATAATTCATCCAATGAAATACAAAGTGCTACTAGAAAAACAGTAAAAGCAATTTCCTGAAAAAAGTTGTACTTTAACCATAACATCTGCTTCGCGTGCGTGCGAGGAAACTATCGCTACCGTACGCTCCCATAACTTCCAAATGTTCGCCCTTCTGCTGCGTGGATATTGACTACACAGCTGCAGGCTTACACTTGTAATAATTTATACTACCCTCTGCAACTCACCTGCGACATGTGGTATTTTAAGCCTTTTTCAGTAAGATACGCCCGGTTGCAATCCGGATACCGACAGGTCATAGCTTGTGCAAGCTTTTCAAGACTATCTGGATGCTTGTTCCGGTAATGTTCGTCGATTCCTTTCTTAGAGCACTCTGTGCGACAAATTAGACAGCGCTCGGTTGTTTTTCGGAGTCCGACCTCAGATCTGCGGGACTTCGCTTTCGGCGGAGGTGGTTTTCTTGCATCATCCGCTGTCGTCAACGTCACACCATCATCGACTTCCTCCGTTGCCGCAGCGACTTGCCGATCAGTATTCAACATTGTGACAGAGCCGTAATGGGCCTGCAAGTTTCAACCATAAAAAGTAAGCACCAACCCAGCTAAAAATCAATAACTAGTACATTAAAAAAATGCTAGAGCCGTGGTTCGGTGTAAAAGCCATCTTCATGGATATGTGCGTTTACATGCAAAATTTCAGAGATCTATCTGTCCATAATGAGAATTTTGGTACATCTTAATGCATTTGAACTTTTTGGAATTTTCTTGCAGGTGTACATAACTCTCGAACCGGATGCTGCGCGCACAAACGATATTCACGCCGACGTATTCAAATTACCTGGCTACAGAATGTCATAAAACAAAGCAAAGGAGTGTCTGAAAGTGCGCAAAAGTGAACGTTTTCGTGCATGTATACGAATTTGGTACCGTGTACAGAGTACTGGGCCACTTCCTTTACGACATATAGGGTAGAAGTTGAAGTGATGGTCCAGCTTAAAGGAAATGGTCACACACATCGTACCAGATCCACTGAAAACAAACTTTTGCGAACTCCCAAAATCTATACGCTATATTACATCCTTCTGCAACCGCATGATTTAAATTCGTACACGTTTACCCTGAAATCACTTAAGTGTGCGCAGTATTCGGATTTCAGTTCCAGAGACATCGCGAAATAAAATGGACAAAGCGCTTAAATGGAACTGCTGTGCTCGAAAAACTGCATATTTATTATCCGATCGTCCTGAAACTAAAACAATAAAGCAGAATCTAAACCGAAACCAGTTTCCGTGGCGTTTTTGTTAAATTTTAAATGCATCTGGCCAAGCTTTAACTTATTGTACAGTTTAGGGAAAATCGGGTGTGCCTGGCCTAGCTTCAAATTCGACTTCGTTTTTGTGTGCCTTTGGTAGCCAAATCTCACGAGGACGGATAATAATATTAGTTTTGGTGCCGACAATGCGTTTAAACTGAGTTTTCATTTAATTTCGCGATATCGCTCAGCAACTGGAACTGGAACACTTCATCATTATGTGTATGTGGCTCACCCGAAGCATGTGGATCCGTAAGCTTTTCTGTCTCAGAAACACTGCCTTGCAATCCTTAAGCCGACACGGAATGAGCTCTGCAACCAATTCTGGATGTTTTTCACGATAATGTTGCTCAATCTCTGGCCAGCAGCGTCGGCAAATTGGGCACCGCGTGCTTGCCGTCGGAGGTCGGAGATCAGATCTGCCCCGCTTGGGCTTATGCTGCGCCGACTTCTCTGGATTATCACTGTTAATAATATCATCGACTGTCGTCGACGCACAGCCATCCCCTCGTGTATGGTGTTTCCGTCGTTTCGCCGTATTTTTAAACTTCAAAGGGGCGTTCCGTTCTGCATCGGATTCCTCTGATTCCGACGCTGCGGATGCAGCGTCCCACTCTGAGGAGGAATCCTGGATCGATCCACATTCAGACTGCTCTTCGTGATCACGCATCGCGGGCTGTTTTTTTTCCGACTGTGATCCGCTCGGACTCATCTGAAAATCCGTCGCCGAGGTTGATGTTTCCTGTGGTTGGGAACGAGTGCTGGGATCCTGCGGTTTCGATGCGGAAGTTTGACGCAGTTTCGATAAACGCTGACTCCGCCGTAATGATGGAGCAGCTATCTGGTCATCAGCGGAAATAACCGGAGACCGCTGCCGTCCAATACTCGCAACAGTTTCACTGGAGGCAACGATTTCTGCAGCAAGGACGAAACTCGCTTCCGCCGGTATAGCATCGCTCTGGGAGGCAACCGCACGATCAGAAATATCACGCTTTCTACGCTTCGTTGACTTTTGGAGCTTTTTAGCTTTTCTCTTGCGATCACTCAGAGGTGCTGCGGGATCAGCATCATCAACTTGCTCCGATACATTTGCTGTCGTTTGTGGTAACGATGCGGCTAAAAAGTACAGTAGTGGTATGAAGAAATCGTGAAAGGGAAAAGATAAAACATAACTAACTAGCAAATAATTTAACAGCTCTGCAAAAACTTAGAGAAAGTTTCCATTTACAACTGCATATTTAAGCGATACCTGCTTGCACAAATACTGAGCCATGCAAATTGATCAAAACTATTCCGTTCATAACCGAATGTGCATCACAATACCACAAGCTCATTCAGTTTTTTTATAAACTGCAGGTAGAGCGAAAACGATAAAGCATCAAACCGATAAAGCGAACAGACAATAACCGACTTACCGAATCCCGCTGCCTTTCCAGGATGGACATCGTAAACGTGCTGCATCAATTGTCCCCCACCGAAATACCCGGTCTGACACTGTTGACAGCGATACGGCTTCTTGTCCCACGCGACTCGACAACGGTTCTCTCTTAAATGTTGAGGCAGCTTCGTCAGCAGTTTTCCACAGTACGGGCACAGTACCGAAGGGCCAGGCGGTAAGGAGACACCCGGATGGATCTCGGCCATATGTCGGATCAACCACCTCCGCGATAAGTACCGGCGTGGACAGTGTTTGCAGGGGAACGGCCAATCCGCCCAGATGGCCGCCAACTCATCGGGATGTTTGGTTCCCAGATGCAGACGCATGCGGTTATCTTTCACACGGCTAACGTTCTGCTCGCAAAACGGACATCGCACCCAGTCGTTTTTGCCAAGTGCGTGCTGGATGACATGCTCGGCCAACTGCTGAAAGTCGTTGCCGGCAAAATCACAGGCTGGACAGTGGCGCTGGCTGGGCGGTTCGGCGGGAGGGGAATGGGTGGCGTTGTGGAGCTCCAGCAGAGAGAGGTGCTGGAAGGTTTTGCGGCAGGGAGCGCAGTAGAACTGAAAGAAGCCGGTGGTGCGCATGAAGTCGATGACGGACGCGGAATGCGCAGAATTCACGCCATCGAACGTTTCCAGTAATGAATCTCCACTTGGCATTTCCGCAAGCAGGATATCACACCACTGTTCAGTCGCTACAGGCGATGACGGCGAAGTCCGTGGGAGCAGCGCCTTTTGTGGGTCCTGCTCTTTATCACCAGCTTTAAACGACTCACCAGGGGAAGATGAACACGAGAAACTAGGAATGCCGGCTTCCATGCCACTGCACATTTCCGCTAATGAATCTCCATTGCAACTTTCCCCATGCGGAGTGCTACACGATGATCCCCTCCCCAATGGTGGTGGCGGTGAGTCACACGGGGATAATGCAGTTACCGGGTCTAGTGGGTCGTACTGATCATTATCTCCAGCAAGAAAGCACTCGGCAAGGGAAGACACAACCGCGCCGTCGGTAATGGCGTCGCTACCGTGCATAGCTGACTGACCGACATCTAGCGGTAAGGAAGTGAACTGAAATGATTCCCCAGTCATGGCTAACGCTGCACACGGTAACGCGGATTCAACGAGGCAAGATGCAGCCGCAACTCTATCCGCATCAGCGCCCTTCACCGGCTCGCACGGAGGTAAGACAGACGGGTCCCGGTTGTCGATGCCGAGCAACAGTTTGCCGGTCATCTGCCACGCGACCGTAGATGTCGAACAGTCTAAATCAGGGAATCAATTTGCTCCTATCACGTACATTATATAGATAGAAATTACTGATTACGCTGCATCGCACTGTACGACATAAGTACATTTTCGACCGAGCGAAGCGAAGGTCCTCTATGTTCAGGATAACAGGAATTTTTGTCGGTCATGTCGGTCACGCAATAATCTGTCCGTCGGTCACGCTGCTCACGCATTACGTAATAGCAGAAACCCTATATATATTATTATTCCAGAGTATAGTGTGAGGTTATATAGGGGGGAAAACCGTCTTAGTGGAGCCGGTTTACGGCGCTGCTGCCGTCACCAGGCTGGAATGTGACGTTACGGCAACACATAATAATTACGGCTAAATCGGGCGCGGTACATACTGTAACACCATGTTTAGCCACAACGTAAGTATCTCCAGCCGGGTGACGGCAGCAGTGCAGGGAGACGGTTCGGGTAGACTGGTTTTGCCCCCGATATTATGGGAATGCCTGTGTGTTTTTCACTGCTGTGTATTTAATAAAACAAATCGGCATTGTAAAAATTTCAAATTTGTTGAATTTTGTCAACGTGCAAAACCGGTTTCTTTAACATTGCAGACGGTCCGATTCCAGTGCTTCGTGTTTTTCCTTTATGAAAATCGTAGTAAGTTATTGATTTTGCTTATTGGTTGTTTTCCTTTAGTGATTTTATTTAGTGCCTTTTTATGCGAAATGAATCAATGAGTAAATTCTTTATTTAATAATTTTTTTGGAGCAGCAACGTTTTTATTAGGGCCCGCAGTGGGGTACTAATGTACCCCAACGAGCATAATTTTGTTTGGCTTGGCCAGTTGCTGTTGACCTACACATAGCTATAGTTTTGCAAATTCTTTCCGTGTAATCACATGTTGCCGAAGTTAGCATCCAGGTTTTGAATAAGTTTGTTGAGCGACGAAATCTGATGAAAACGTGGGTCAGCAATATTGAATGAATGTCGGGTGGAAAGTGGGAAGGAGAGAATTTTGGTACCAAAAAAGTGTTTGGGAATACTGTAAGTTAAACAAAGTGTTTTGTGTACAAAATTTGGTACCAGGGACCGACATACTTCCCTCAAATGGGTCAATATGTATTTTTAAGGGCGGAATAAGATTTATGGTTGTAAAAAGTACTCGTTGTACTCCTTAGTTAAGTAATTCGTATGCATTTCTGTATACTCCTTATGAAGAAATACAGTAATTATTGTTTTTAAACTAACACAACTTGATAATTTTTCTCTGCTTGTGCTAGCTCTACACGTGGACGTGCTTTATCTGTGGAATTTTTGTCAATATTCTTCCCTAAAATGCTCTACTGTAAACTTTCGTTCTGAGGTTGTTGGCAAATCATTCAAACTGCATAATATAGGCAGCAGATTTTAATGTTGACTACAAATATGTGAATTCAAAATTGGACGAAAATTCGTAATACAGGAAAAGATTTTGTTCAGAATGGACCATCTTACGGAAATTTCTGGCTTCGCTTCGGTCTTTTAGTGCTAGCCTGCAGCGGTGCACTTCCCTAGTAGACTAACACAGGCGGAAGTCGACCGCGTTCCATGGTTTAAAAATGTTTGATAATAAAATCAATCCACATTGTAAGCGCCTCTTGAACCTACCCGTGACTCCAGTCCGTTGACGACCACGTTTCGCTTTGCCCAGTTTCTTGTGGAAAACAACTCCGGCGCCGTGTTCGCGTTGAGCACTCGCATCGTCTTTTACACACTGCAGGTCATCGTCTCCCCCAGCAACTGCACCACACGCGCGTGCATGCGCTCTCGACACAGCCCAGGTCTTGCAGATGTGTCCACAAGCTACACAAACATGGCTGGCCCAGTGGTCGCGTTCCATATGGCGCGTCACGGCGGCATACCGCTTAAACAGCCTCGAACACTGCGGACAGGGGAACCTGTCGTCGACTTTGTGCTGTGCCGGGTGCCACCTGTGGTTGTCCATCGTCACACCGCAATACACACACTCCCATCCCACATGTTTCGCGCGGACATGCTCCTCCAACCCCCCGGCACTGTCACAGCGACGCTGACACTGCCCACACCGGACCGCATTGTCGTCCGGATGGTGGGTTTTCAGGTGATTCAACGGAGATACCTCAGCCATGAACCCGGACGGACGTTTATCGCACTGGTATCCAGACTCTTCCTGGAGGCGGGTCAGAAATCTCAGGACATGTTGGGCACCTTGATATTTCCTTTTCGGGTTGTCCCGTGCTTGCATCCGGTCTTCAAGCGTTGCCCGATCCAACACGGTCTCTTGATCGTCCCCTCGTTCTCTCTCATGAGCAGAGCTGATATGGCGCACCAACTGTGCGCTGGAAAAGAACTTTTCCCGGCAATCCATCTCCGGGCACTGCAGCTCCCCATCGGGGCAGATGGCATCGAACTCTTCCGGGTGCCGTTCTTCCACATGCCGACGCATCTTACTATACAGATGTGTCTCTTTTTGATAGATTTCCTCGCCGCAGAGTAAGCACGGTACCCAGTCTTTCTTGCTGAAAGCATGCTGATTAACATGCTGGAGCATCTCCTGACCGGTGTAATCACATTGGGGACACTTCCCTACCGGTACATCAATGCTGCCGGCATCCGTCATAGGATGACATAATGCATTATGCAGATCAAGCAACGGCATCGTGGGAAAGGTGCTGCGACACGGGGGACAGAAGTAGTTGAAATGACCGGTGGTTTTCATGTAAGAGCGAGCCACCGCGACATCCGCTGGCGATGGCACTGTTACGGCTTTCGAACGTTTCTGCAAAATTGCGAAAATAACCAGAAACCAAACTACTGTCTATTCACTAGGGCACACCACGCCGTCGCAATGTCGGCGTTGGCTGGCGCAAAATATATCAAGAAAAAATATATATCAAGAAATTTATGAATAGACAACGCCATCCCAAGTGACCGATGTTGCATTAATATGCCGCAACACAAGGATGTCATATTTAAAATGGAAACAATATCATCTTTTTTACAATGCAAGCGCTAGACTGTCTTCCAGACTAATCATTGCATCATCTTGACGGTTCACAACCTGCGATTTTTTTTTTGGATTTGAGCCGACTAATACGTTTAAAACCACCAACCTCAGACGATGTAGTGGTCTGGAGAGCATCAATCTCATCATCAGCAAGCAACTCTTCAGCACACAAGAGGGCCGTGTCGCCGGTGTCGGAATCATCCGTGACGTTAACTAACGCAGGCACGATGGAATTCTCCGTTTCGATGATAACAGAACAGTCAGTCGCATCGGGATCCTCTTCTCCGAACGGCAGCCCCGTGTTACGGTGTTCGCTGCTGTGCAGTCCCCAGGGATCGCTGTCCACCCAGCCCAACAGTTCTTCTTTAACGGCACGCACCGTTAGTGCTGTTAACTCGTCCGACACCGTGAGGCCAAGTAAAGGAGGATCTCCATCAATGGATTCCGTCTGGATAAGAACCGGATTCTCGGTAGCGCGCTTCACATCACTAGTGCCTATATAGTCCAAACATTAAACGGAGACACAGCCATTTTGGCACAAATCAGCATTACCCGAGTTTCCGCTAACGTCCTTAGTACTAAATATGTCGACTTCCTCCAACAAAGGGGCTTCTGCTTCTTCTGTTAAACAGGTTAAAATAAATGGTGCGAAACTTGAAGAATTTACCCAAGGAATGTTACCCAATTTGTCCTGGGGGCGATGGTGAGCCCCGTCAACTGCTTCCGATCGATCCGCTGTTGTTTGTCCTAACGAGGGCGCTAAAAATCAGTGGTATGTCAAAATTACGATATGCAAAAAAATCAAACGAATTAAAACAAAGGAAACAATTTAGAAAATTTGGAAATACTGCGGAGCAGCATGATGAGCGTTCATCTCCTTCTTCTAACATATACTAGAGCAGTATTATTCCCCTGAAGACCATATTATTCCCTTTATCTTTACACGAAGCCTGCCTTTTCGAAAACAGTTCCTGAAAAATTTTAATCGATAACTAATTTTTTAACTAATATGTACACCCGCAATATCTGCAGACTGCAGGTACTTGTACAACACAAAACTATAGCTTACTCGATCTTTTATAAAATGCGGTTAACAGGACATTCAGTTGACAAAATCTGAATCGCCGGCTTACCGAAACCAACTGTGACATCTCCCGCATGGGCTTTAGCAACGTGATGCATGAAGCTCCCGTGGGTGCAGTAACCGGTCTGACACCGGTAGCATCTATGTGGCTTCTGATCCCACGGGGCTGGGCATCGGTTCTGTTTTAGATGTTGACGCAGCGCCGTAAACAGTTTCCCGCAGTAGGGACACGTTTTCATGTGGTCCAACGGTAAGGCGGCGTCCGGATGGTTCTGACCTCTATGAACACTCTTAACGTGCTGAATGAACTGTCCGTGAGTGAAATAACCGCTCTGACACTGTTGACAGCGATACGGTAGCCGATCCCACGGGGCTCGGCATCGGTTCTTCCTGTGATGCAGATGCATCACCGTCACCACTTTCCCACAGTACGGACACACCTCCGTGGGGTCCGACGGCAAGGAAGCGTCCGGATGCATCTCGCCCACATGTCGCACCAGCCGATTCCGGAGAAAATACCGCCGTGGACAGTGTTCGCAGGGGAACGGCCAATCCGCCCAGATGGTTGCCAACTCGCCGGGATGTTTGGTTTCCAGGTGCATCTGCATGCGGTTATCTTTAACCCGGCTAACTTCCAGCCCGCATAACGAGCATCGCACCCAGTCGTTTTTGCCCAGTGCATGCTGGATGACATGTTCGGCCAGCTGTTGGAAGTCGCTGCCGGTGAGATCACAGGCTGGACAGTGGCGCTGGCTGGGCGGTTCGGCAGGCGGGGTATGGGTGGCGTTGTGGAGCTCCAGCAGAGAGAGATGCTGGAAGTACTTACCGCAAGGAGCGCAATAGAACTGGAATAAACCGGTGGTGCGCATGTACTGAATGATGGACGCGGCGGACTCTGTTGAACTCATTTCGGCAACGAATCCTGTCGTGCATCACGCGGGGGGCATAAACGGGTGAATGCGAAAGGAACTGCGGTGGCCGGGAAGTGCACTGGTTGGTTGCAGCAGTCAATGGCGCAGATTATGATTATCAGTCACAGGAAGCGTCGATCATATGGTACTTTCTTTCCCATCTACGCATTCAAATATGACATTATTTGTTAGTAAGTAATGATATGAGGAAAAATTTTTTGTATTTGCAGAAAAAATTTCCTTGAGAAGCCGGTTTAAGAAGTCGTGTCGATTTATCACGTTGGTAGATTCGATGTGGTTTTTGCGTATTTCTGGACAGCGCCCACTATACATAAATCCTAGCCACCGCACTACGACATTACCCTGTATTTCTTCTATTTGGTTGCTTTAAATAAGAAAAAAACCTCTGATTAGGTAGGCTACGATAGAACGTAAATAAGTCGTTTTCTCGCAATAGGATGCCTTCCATAAAAGCGATAAATTGGTACATAAATGGTAATACAGTACATTACATTTATGCACCCATTCGTATTCTGTGAAACCCCCCCCCCACTCCCCCCCGAAATTACACCCGTTTCTAAAGCACTGGTACATAATTTGCTGTAAGATTAAGACCATGATTTACCAAAAAAGCCATTAATTTTGGTAACTGGATGATACTGAAAATGATAAAAAAATATTACTCCGCTTCAAACAATCTTCCCCTCCCAGCGACACGGCCACGGTTTCGGAGTTTGTGGCGAGGTATCTGTGGCAAGAGGAAGACAACCACTGTTTCTTGTGTTTATCCAAACACCCTTCTCGATCAGAACAGATTCTGATAAGATGGCCAGATCCGCTGATTCTGATAAGATGGTCACATTTGCTATAAAACAAGTCTCTAGCGGATGCGAGAGCTCAGAAAGTCCGTGGTCTTTCACTAACTAACTTTCGCACGTCACTGGCGAGCTCAAGAAACTCCCGAGACCAGGCACGCTGTTGCAACAACGAAGAACGGGAAATCCAGCATGTATACCAGTGCTCGTAGTGTTAGTGTTGCGGCATCACTAACTATAAGAAAAAGAAATAACTGCATACCATACCCCGTACTGCAAATTCATTTCCACGTTCGCGGTTCGCAAGTCTTAAGTCAGTGGATGTCACAGCTAACAGGCAAGACTGCACCTTGCAATGCGACGGTAAAGTCCAAATAATAATGAGAGCACGCTCGTACATCCAAGTTCCAACTGAGTATCCATGCAGTGCTGTTGGATCGTGAAAACAAAAGAAGGGGAAACACAACATCCGTAAAACAAGAACGGCAGTTCTGAATTCTGTACTAGTATTTCCAAACAGAAATAATTTCGAGCCTTTGGCAACGAAATGTAAGCATAACTGCATATGCAATGAAACAGCGCGTCGTCGTTGCGTGCTACCACTGGGTGGCAGGATGCAAGAAATATCGCGCATCTCTTCCGGTGCGGTCGATCGGGTGCAGGCTGCATGCCGCTAAAACAACAAACGAAACTGCGAATCTGCTTTAACGACTGTACTCACTCTTACTGTACTGTGTAAAGTAAAACCGATCGCAGTTGAGCAATTTTTTTCTTTCAAGGGGAATAATTCCCGGGTCAAATATTTAAATTACAGTATATTACTAGCGGTGGTAGTTAGCCACATCATTGAAAGACAGCTTCAGTATCACTGGATATATACAAGTATACATACGATAAACTGTACTGTCTGTACATATCATAATGGCATATCATAATGAATGTACGGAATTTGCAAAGTGTTATCAGTTCAAGCCGGTCCGGATGATGAGCACGAAAACATACGGCTAAAAATGTAAATTAATTAGTTACACCAAAACGTAGTGTAGTGGCCATATGCATAGCTCTACCTTTACCGCCCATTACGTGATCATCATCCGGATCGGCTTGAATTCGTACTGTAAGCAGATGACGCTCTTCCTGACGCCATAAATTTTTTTAGCTCTTGACGAAGACTCAATTGCAGCATCTCGCTGCGTTGGATACAAATAACAAATCCTAATCACCCAGATGGGCCAGATCAAGGGGAGTACTGCACTCGTATAGTCGTACTAATACCTAATGTGAGGCGCATGCACAGTTATGCGCATACCTGTCTCTTTCAAGCGCTGCTTTTAACAATATTAGTGCGAAAAGGAAGACCGGACAAAATCCGTTAAGCCTTGTTTTAAAAAAAACCCACTGGCATGCGGTAATGAAATAGAAAATCAAGCTAAACCATGGAATTACGTAATAAATAACTCGGTAACATATTAGCGCGTTCCATTTAACAAAGGTTATTAAAGTACGAAACCAGAAACTCACAGTTAAAGTAAATAAAAAAGGTATTTCAAAACTTTTTTCATCCAGACGGGTGCTTTTTGTCAATATGGATGAGGAGATTCTCCCGCCATCGAAACCCTTTCCGGCACTCTTCGCAGCGATGATTAAACTCCTCGAACGTCATGGTTCTCTTGGGTCGGAAGAAGGCCTTCAGCTGCGCATTGGTCTCTTTCTCCTTCTTCCACTGCAGCCGCTTCTCCTTGGCGCTGCCCACAAAATGACACCTTTTCATATGGCTGTGGAGTCTTTGCATCCCCATAAGCCGCTTACTGCACACCGAACACGGGAACTCGATGGCTGCCCCGTCGTCCAACGCGGGATGGTCCCGCTGGCGGGTCGACGCTTTCTGCTTCAGACACAGTCGCAGATGACCTTCCAGCCGCTTTGCCGAGCGACACACCTTCCGACAAATCAGACAAGTGCGACTGGCATCGTGGCTGCGAAAGTGTTCCCGTATCTCCGGGTAGGTGCTGAATGTGGCAGTGCACTGTGGACACGGGAACGCATTGTCTACCTTGTGCTCAGTGACATGCTTATTGAATTGATTGATACCCTGCATCATCGTGCTGCAGTACAGACACACCATTCCCGCCCTCTTATGTACATAATGCACGTGCTGGTTCCTGGCGTGGGCCGTGTCGAAGGTCTTCTGGCACTCGCCACACTGAAAACGCTGCCGCTGCTTCCGCTGCAGCATCACGTCCGCATGGAAGCGATCCATGTGCGGGCGTAATCGGGCGCCAGTTTGGTTGTTGATCCACTGACCGCACAGAATGCAATGCTGCCGGGTGCAGGAGCCGAATCCGTGGGTCCCCACGTGGTCGGATAAATCTTTGAGGTGGGCTGCCGTGTAATCACAGGCGGGACATTGGCGCTTGTCGCTGCAGTCTACGGCACTACCGGCGTGCTGTAGCATGTGGAGATCGAACAGGGGTTTTCGGCTGAAATTCAACTGGCACACCGTGCAACGGAAATGCAGGAAACCGGTTTCGATAATGTACGCCGCAGCGGCCTGCCGATCGGCTTCCGAAACCGTGCTACAAGGAGTACCGGTGGGGTGGGCCTGAAATTTTCAGCGATAAAAAAGTAAGTCAGTTTATCTATTAAAATATTACAGATACTTACACTGGACACAGAAGTAATTTCCTAAAATCGTTCTTAAGGAAGCAACTTGGCAGTTGGCGCATAGCACCAGATGCACCACACACGGTGCAGCGCAATGATTTGTAACATAAAAAAAATCATTCGTGCGCTGGTGCGAGAGTTGCGGGTGAAATTGATTCAAAAAATGTTAAACCTCAAACAGGTGTACTCGTACAACGACTGGTACCAAAGTTTCATTATTCCCCGCTCTCCTTCAAATTTTATACTTACAAACGTTAGTTACGTAAACACAGAAATGTGAAGACTGTTTGCATCTATCCAGGGTTCCACTAAACTGACCAAGGTACCAAACTTACAATATGTATAAAAAGTACCGTAATTATCGAATTTGTGCCCCCCCGCAATAAGAGCCCCCCCCCCCTTGTAATGTAATAAGCCCCCTCCCCGACCCTGTTTGAAAAATACGGCCACCCCCCGAAATTACGCCCAGGGGACCGCTAATAAATGCCATGCGGCGCAAAATGATAAGTGTACCGCAAATGCTTTATAAAAATTATTGTGGTGTGAGCAATAACTAAACGGACATCAACATATTGCGGTATTAGTTGGCACAAAAGGTGTATAGGGACTAAGTAAAAGTATATGCTCGAAAATATTGCTGGGAAGGTTGCGCTGTTGCGTATACCGGTAATTATTGCGTTCAGTTTCACTAGAAAAGGATGCGCAGTTGTTTATAACATAATGCCCCTCCCAAAATATAGCGTTCGAAAAATAACGCCACCCCCCGAAAATGCGCCCCTCCCCGAAATAAGCCCCCTCCGCCATAGCCTTCGAACTATGTGTACCCCAGGGCCACAAATTCGATAATCACGGTATATGTAAAAAATATATGTGCTTTGCACTTGCCAGTAAGTTGAGTCAACACAGCTAACTGCTTTAAAGGCAGTGCCGGAAAATTAAAGGTTGTGTCAGAGTGGAAGGTAGTTTGAGCACGGAGTGAAAAATTGATAGACTGTGAACGGAATGGTCTAGACAATTATTATCGGATTCTCCGCCTTTTGCTGCGAATTTTACAATTTACAGTACTCTGTCCGTCTATAACCCACCTTAGCCATGTGGTTCTTTAGGCCTCTCTCAGTAAGAAACGCGGCTCCACAACCCGGATACAGGCAGATCATAAATGGTGGAAGCGTTGCAATCGTTTCAGGATGTTTCTCACGGATATGTTCCTCAATCCGTATCTTAGAAGACGTACTGCGGCAAACTGGGCAGCGTGGTCCTTTATTTCGGCGTCCGCCCTGATGCCTGTCCGCCTTATCCTGTGCCGACTTTTGCGGGCCCTTACTTGCATTATTAATTGTCTCTAGCTCTGAGCAATCCCCCGAAATGGCCGACGCACCCTGCTTCCGTCGTGCTTTCGACTTTTCCACTCTTACACGGGGATTCCCTTCTTCATCGGATTCCTCCGATTCGGACTTCTCAGATTCAGCATCCCATTCTGAGGTGGAATCTTGGAGCATCTCGTCATCGGAAACGGCACTGATTAATTCGGGTTGCTTATCAAAATCATTCATCGGAGATTGGTCTTTTGCAGATGGTAATGTCAGCATCGGCAATTCCGGCTTCGACGCAGCAGATTGCTGCCGTGTCGATAAACGCTTGCTCCGCCGTAACGTTGGACCAGCCGACGGATCATCAGCGGAAATATCAGGAGACACACGTAGCGCCGTCTCTGGAGCAGTGCCTTCGCGTGGGAGAGCACAGAAATCTTCTTGGGCATCACCTACATCGAAGGGTACAAAAAGCATGAAAAATCGAACAGTGGTCCGCGGTACAAAATTCAAGATCAAGTCCATAAACAGCGTGCAACAAAAACATATATCTCTAAGAAGCAAACAAAGATTCTATTTTACAATCCCGGACTTACCGCAGCCTGCGACATCTCCCGCATGGACAGCGTCAACGTGGTGCACGAACTGTCCGTTAGTGCAAAATCCGCTTTGACACTGCTGACAGCGATATGGCAGCCGATCCCACGGGGCTCGGCAGCGATTCTGTCCTAGATGCTGATGCAGCTTCGTCAGCACTTTTCCGCAGTACGGGCACGCCTCCGTAAGGCCCGACAGTAAGGAGGCGCCCGGATGCATCTTTCCCGTATGCCGCATCAATCCATTTCGGGAAAAATACCGCCGCGGACAGTGTTCGCAAGGGAACGGCCAATCTGCCCAGATGGCCGCCAGCTCGCCGGGATGTTTGGTTCCCAGGTGCAGCCGCATGCGGTCATCTTTCACACGACCCACTTTCTGTCCGCAAAACGGACACTCCACCCAGTCGCTTTTGCCCAGTGCGTGCTGGATGGCATGCTTGGCCAATTGCTGGAACTCACTGCCGGTGAAATCACAGGCTGGACATTGGCGCTGACTAAGGGGTTCAGTAGGCGGGGTATGGGTGGCGTTGTGAAGATCCAGCAGAGAGAGATGCTGGAAGTGTATACGACAGGGAGCGCATTGGAACTGAAAGACTCCCGTGGTGCGCATGTAATCAATGATGGACGCGGTGGACTCCTCCATGCCATTGGGCAATTCCATTAATGAATCTCCAATGGGAATTTCTGCAGGTAGAGTATCGCACGACTTTTCAGTGGGCACTGCCGGCGACGGGGAAGCACTCGGGATCAGTGCTCCCAGAGGGTCCGGCGAGTCGCACTGATCGTTATCTCCAGCCGGGAAGGGTTCACCCGGGGAAGAAACAAAGGACAACCCGGCATCGTCGTCGTTGTCGTCGTTACCGGACGGACCAACATCCAACGGTAGTGAGGTAAATTGTGCAGAGCTCTCCAGTTCACCATTATCGGGTAATGTCGCACCTGGTAGTGCGCAGTCAACGGAGCAGGATTCAGTCGCAGGTAAATCTCCATCTGCGTCAGCGCCATTTATCGGATCGCACTGAGGTAGAACGGGCGGGTCCCGGTTGTCGATGCCGAGCAATAATGATAGTCTGTTGGTTGTTATTAAGGGGCTCGCGCATGTCTCATAACCTGAAAGAATAAATTATGATTGTTACATTGAAGTTGCAGATAGGAGCAGGAAAACACTGAATTTGATCAACACACCATCATTTACTTCTGCGCCGTCGGTTTCCTTTGGTATGTGCAGCTCCATCTCAGTGTTATCCGTAACTAGAAGACAGAGATTCAACAAATCATCTCAGAATAGAGATTCAACAAATCATCTTAAGTATATAATAAAAAATTGTTTAAAAACAACAGCGAGAAACTCAGGCTTACCGTCCATTACAGGGTCTGCGACATCCTTTTCCGCAGTTCTTCCAATACATTTTCCGGCATGTTCTCCGAACGCCGCCTTATCCGGGCAAACATGTCCACACGCCACACAGACATGCCTGCCGGCATGGCGGCAGTCCATATGGCGTTTCACCGCGGCATACCGGTCAAAAACCCTCGCACACTGCGTACAGGGGAACACGCCGTCGATTTTGTGCTGCGCCGGATGCCAGATGTACTCCGTCAGCGTCACCCCGCAATACACACACTGCAACCCGGTGTGCTTCAACCGGACATGAGCACCCAAGCCCCAAGCGCTCTCATAGCTGCGATTACATTGAGCGCACCGGAATTTCCCCGGCAGGTCAACGGGACAGGATCCAGTCGCAGTCAGATTTCCATCCGCGTCAGCGCCATTCCCCGCATCGCAGTGCGGTAGAGCAGCCAAGTCGCTCTTGTCGATACCGCGCAACAATGACACATCGCCGGTCGAGACCATGGATTCTACACAATCTACACAAGGATAGTATTAAAGTCACATTACTCATACAGGAATTACAGATACGAACCACGGCTATAAAACAATGCCAAGATTTGTAATCAGCGCACCATCATTTGCTCCCGCTTCGTCGGCTTTTGCTGGTAATTGTAGCTCCGTCTTGGTATCATCCATAGCTAGCAAAAAAAAAACAATCCACATACCCTAAATTAGAGAATCTATGGCACGAAATTTACTTCAAATGCAGAGTACGAAGTATGAACAGAATTGAGCCGTATGCAACGTAGACGTAGAATGCCTTGTCTATCGCGGTTTACATAACGACCATGCAATATCCATACGTACCCGCGCCAACAATCCGCTGACGCTTACGTTTCGCTCCAGCCCGTTTTTTCCGCGGTACCAGTTCGTCATCATGTTGACGCTCGGCAGGCGTATCATCCGTTACATACTGGAGGACATTCTTCTGCGCAATACTTCCACCGCACTCGCGAGCATGCGCTCGGAACGCCGTCTTCCCCTTGCAGATGTGTCCACAGGTCACACAAACATGCCGGGCCCAGTGGTACTGCTCCATGTGGCGTAGAAGCGCCTTGTACCGGTCAAAAACATTCGGGCACTGCGGGCAGGGAAACTGGCCGTCGACTTTGTGCTTCGTCATGTGCCAGTTGTATTCCTTTATCGTCTCATCGCAGTACACACACCGCTTCTCTTCATGCCACAACCGGACATGAGCCGCCAAGCCCCGGCCGCTGTCGTACCGGCGATGGCATTGCAAACACGGGAACTTCTCCTGCAGCACCTCCGCGTCCGCAGCCGCGGTGTCGCCGGTATGCCGCATTTTATCGTGGTTCAGCAGACCGATCTCCGTCATGAACCGGGCCGGGCATTTTCCGCAGTGGTGTGGAAACTCTTCCGGGCGGCGGGCCAAACGCGCTAGGACGTGTTTGGATCCGTAATATTTCCTGGTTTGTTTCCGCTTTTTGCGTGCTTCCATTTGGTCGGCGGGTGTACCCGTATGACAAATACCGATATGGGTGTACAGACCCTCCATGTTCACGAACAGCTTACCACACTGCTGACACGGTATCGGCCCGTTGCGCTCCAGTGGGATCGCTTGATCGTCCCATCGTTCTTTGTCATGAATGCAGCTGATATGGCGCACCAACTGTGCGCTGGCAAAGAACATTTCCCGGCAATCCCCTTCCATGCACTGCAGCTCCCAATCGGCGCAGATGACGTCGAACTCTTCCGGGTGCTCCTCATCCACATGCCGACGAATGGAAGCATACAGAGCTCCGCGATCCTGACAGACAGCTGTGCCGCAGATTATACACGATACCCAGTCTTTCGTGCGATAAGCGTGCTGGTTGACATGCTGGAGCATCTCCTCACCGGTGCAATCACATTCGGGACATTTCTCAGTCGGTTCGTCAGTGTTACCGGCATCCATGGTAGGATGACATAATGTATTATGCAGATCAAGTAAGGACTTCGTGGGGAAGGTATTGTGACACGGGGGACAGAAGTAATAGAAATAACCGGTGGCTTTCATGTAAGCACAGGCCACCGCGACCTCTGCTGGCGATGGTACCCTGTAAAGATTTGAAGGTCTAGGGTAGCCAGCCTCTTCGCAGTCTGCAGCCGCCATAGCATCGTCGTGGTCATCCCCCCCTTCCATCAGACTGCCTTTATTTATCACAGACGATTTCTTCTTTGGTTTAGGTACACGAGCGTGCTTGAAAGAACGAACTGAACTAGATGCCGTAGGCTGAGGCTCGGTAGGTGTGTTTCCCGCGGAAGGCGTGTCTGTAAAGCGATCGTGAACGTTCGTCAACATACAGATTACAATAACAAGCGCAAGTGCAAGTGTGCAACGTGTTTTCTCAAGCAACGTTGCAGTTTAATTCTTAATAGAAAAAGCGCCACGGCTGTGTGAAGTACCTTAATTTTCATTCTAAGAAGGATAGAAATTTTGGCTATTACACAATTTACACTGTATCTAATTTTCACTGATCATGAAGCATTTACTATGAGCCTATAGTTTGGATACCTGCAGGCGTTGCGAAACACTCTGTTGCCGGTTGAGTGGACGGCGGCGCTGACACCAAGGCATTGTTTACATCATCAACAATTTCCGCTCCTGGATCACATGAAAGGGTCGTATCACGAAATTGTGTGCCATCGTGTACCGCGGGGCAAACGGAACTCCAGTCAGCCGAAGAAGGATCCGCTTCTCCATACGGTAGCCCCGTATGACACAGCTGGCTGATTTGAAGCTCCGATGTATCGTTATCCATCCAACCAAACAATTCTTCCTTAATTGCACGCACCGGGAGTGACTGGAGTTCATTCCAGGAAGCTGCTTCAAGTAAGGGAGGGTTTTCAGCGTTTGATAGGTCCGTCTGGGCCTGATCATCGGGAGCGTGATTCGGATCTTTATCGTCTACAGAAACCAGCACGTTGAAAAATCAAAATATATCGGCAAAAGCCAGCCTTACCTGTGTTTCCTTCTAACTCCTGAACAGAAAACTTGTCCACTTCCTCTGAGGAAAAGGTTGATGTTTCTTGTAATGAAGAGGCTAAATCACGTGGTAGATATAATTCGCGCTAGTAATCACGTAAAATTGAAAATTAAACAGAGACGATAATCGATCTCACCCGACTTTGCATTTTGCCGAAACTTTTTCTTAAGGCTTTCCTTGATTTTTCTAACTTGGGCCGGCAACGTGCGAACTTCCTCCGATAGATGACCTGTCGTTTGTCCTAATGATGATGTGAAAAATCAGTGGGTTGTCAAAATTCTGATATGAAAAACCGAACAGAAGAAAAGTCAGCAGACTTTCGGAAATATTCAGTTGATAATCAAACCGTGCAAAAATCCATTAGAATCACCTTTTTAAACTTATGTGCAAACCGAAAGGAAACGCAAAATGTACCGTACGACATGCATAAAATCAATCCAGACAACTGTTTTCGCATTTTATTTTCCATAAAACTCTAACAAGCAGAACCGAAAATTACCGGCGTACCGAAGCCAACTGCGACATCTCCCGCATGGACGCTGTTAACGTGCCACATGAAGCTCCCGTGAGTGCAGTACCCGGTCTGGCACTGTTGACAGCGATACGGCTTCTGATCCCACGGGGCTGGGCAGCGATTCTGTCCTAGATGCCGATTCAGCTTCGTCAGCAGTTTTCCGCAGTACGGACACGGTTCCGCAAGGCCCGACAGTAAGGAGGCGCCCGGGTGCATCTTGCACATATGTCGCACCAGTTCCTTCCGGAAAAAATACCGCCGTGGACAGTGTTCGCAGGGGAACGGCCAATCCGCCCAGATGGCCGCCAACGCACCGGGGTGCTTGACTTCCAGGTGGCGTCGCATGGGAGTATCCATAACACGCCCCACTTCCTGCCCGCACAACGGACACCGCATCCAGTCGGCGGGCCGCAGTGCGTGCTGGATGGCATGCTCGGCCAGCTGCTGAAAGTCGCTCCCGGTGAAATCACAGGCTGGACATCGGCGCTGGCTGGGCGGTTCGATGGGCGGGGTATGGGTGGCGTTGTGCAGATCAAGGAGGGATTTGTGCGGGAAGGTTTTACAGCAGGGGCCGCACTGGAAATGGAAGAAGCCCGTGGTGCGCATGTAGTCGATGAGGGTCGCGGTAGCTTCCTTGGGGTTCATGGTGTACGAACACACGAGGTGAGGTGACACCGGTCGCCCGGAAATGCAATGGTTGGACAGAAGCAGTCAGCGGTGGGGGTTGGTCACAGCGCAACTGATTCCATTAGGTGGCTGTTCCCAATCTACATATTTCAATATTCTTGGACCGAATCTTGGTTAGTAAAGTAATATGAATGAGGAAAAGGGAAAATCAAACTGCGGAAAACTTATTTTCCCCTTCAAGTTGTTTTTTAACAAACGCTAACTAACATCTAAATAGAAACTAACCCATGAATGCGGGAAAAACTATATTTCATGTGAAAATTCGTAGGCAGAATGGCCGTGAGGGCATCCCGGGGTTGCGCCGCTGCACCCACGATGCCATACACTGTAACTAGCCACTGCACTACGATAATTGCTGTGAATTTCTCTACGCTGTCAACAGGTAACTAGGTAAGTACGTAACTACGTACTTTGCTGTACCACGGGTCGGTCTATTTTGCATAGTCTAGTATTTCTCTGCATCGGGTTGAAACTTGTTTCGCGGGAATAATAAAAAAACGTTGCTAATTTTAATGCCGTAGATACTGATGGCCCAACTTTTGCATCTGTAGGGTGTCGAAGAATGTGATCTTGAATTTTTAACCCCCCCCCCCCAGTAATGATCCCCTTTGGGATCCCCATTGTGTGTGCAAAATTAAATGTACCGCCAGGAGGGAAGGGGGTGGGCTCTAGTAAATAATGAACGCACGCAAGAAAATGATAAAGATAGTGAGGTATGCTGTAAACTTTAGTAAATTCTGTGTGATTGAACAACTGCGAAAACTGAACAACCGCGAATATTGAAAGACCGTATAGGAACCGGTGCGTCTCGTACACGGCGAAAGCAACTGCGACTATTGAACAGTTCCTTACATTGAACACTTTCGAAGGAACCGTAGGTGTTCAAATTACACAGGTTTTACTGTATGTACTAGTAATTTAAAACCCAATATAAACGTAATGCTGCGTGGTTCCATGTTTAACGTCGGTGCACATATCGAAAGCAAACGATGACGCACTCACCATACTCCCCGAACCAGCTTCGATCATGTTCGATGCTGTCACAAGGAATGGGAGACCCTTACGGTGTAGTATCCAGGGGCAAGGGCTAAGATATCACCGAACGATAAAGTCAAATCGACGAAGGGAGTGCAGCAGCAACAACAGCAATCAACACTATTACAGTAGACGCGCTCACAAGTCATAAGAAAACAGCTAATAATGCAAACTGCAGCCAGTAAAGCGGCAATGCAAACCGAATGGAGAGAGTAAGCCGATAATACAATGGCCGTAAAGTGTTGGATGGTAAAGATTGCACTTGAAAGTGAAAACAGAGCACCACCGAAAACAAAAGTTTATAATATATACAATTATTTCTGTACATACTGTATCTGTACAAGAAAATATTTTGTCAAAATATTTTCAACCATAGCTTGTCAGTGCTACGAACCCAGTGGCACCCACTGGGTGGCAGTCAGCCACAGCTGCCATAGCCTCGCTCCCAGTGCGGTCGCTCGATAAAGCAGATTTTTCTTGCGTGTCGACTGTCGTTAACTTCGATTTCCCGAGAACGGAGAACATCTGCATGAGTACTTACTGTACGAGTAGAGACAGTACGATAAGAAATACTGCATTTTTTGCAGTTCTCCCAAATGGTTTATCAAGCAGTTACACTGAAACAGTACTATATTTTTCGCTGTTTTTTTGTAATTAGAATGCTTCGTAAACAGACCCAGGACAGCGATTTTCTGCAAGGAGTGGGCGGTTGGGGGCGGATTTTAAGGTTACCCCTATTTTGGCTTTTCTCAAAAAGGCCAGTTTCTCAAAACTTGCAATCCCACCAACTGAAGTGTGCTCTATCTGGTGGGGAAAAGTGTATAGAAATATAGTAACTTGGAGGCGAGATATGAATTTTTAAAGTATTCGACCCAGAGCAGCCAGTACTGTAATTAATGACCGGCCCGGCTTACCATTTGCATGCCTGCGTATATGCAAGCGATTAGATTTGGACATGCAGTCAAATGAATGGGAAGCACCTGTTTGCGATTTGTATCTTTTGTTTATCGCAGAGGTGAAACATAAATGTCGAAGTCTCCGCCGGGGGACGGAGTGCATTTTCGAAAAAATTTCCAGAAATCTTTACAAAGTCTTAAAAAAGCTCTAAAAAAATTTCATTTAGATTCCCTAAAATTTGAAGAAATATCGAAAAAGACGTTTTTTAAAGAATTTAAAACATTCAGAAATTTCCGACCAGTTAGACATTTTAAAATGCATCTGTGGTGCTCACTTTCCTCCAGTTTCTGAACCCAGTCGGCTTTTCTCCCGGCAGTCAAAAAGGGAAAACGGGGACCACCTTCCCCTATCGGACCTGGTTGTGAATGCACGGAATACACCTAGCCGGCGGTTATGCTTACGGCTGCTGGTGCCATGTGGATCGTAAGTAGTCCATGCCCGGCATTGCGATTATAATGGTCATCCGGCAATGGGCGAATTGAATGCGCTACGAAAATGCCTGAATGTAATTTTTCGGCCGGCATTTATTTGTCTAGTGGTGTCCAGTGCCCATCTTAGGTAGGTTTTTATCGACAGCCAAATCTTTTCTTTTCTCGTTGGTAGTCAATATACGCTTCGAAATTCTCCGCACAGTCACCATCGCCTGTACCTTTGCGGCGTGACATCCCCCCCAAGTCGCATTCGTTTCTAACAATAAAGTTAGAAAGATGCTTTAACAAGACCGGCATGATGTCAAAATATCTTTTTTGAGGATTCTGGCATTTATGGCGCACTGTCGGCGAAGGCGAAGACATAGGCGAAGAAAATGCGGGTGCCGATAGCATTTTCTCTCTGCCGGGCCGGGGTTCGTAAGTTCTCTTGCGAAGGCGGCATTCACAGGCGCCGAGAATTTAGTGTATAACAGCACAATGTAGCGGCGAAGTCGGTCGTGATTACTTGAATCGAAATAACGCTTCTTCCGAGCCAGGATAAATCCGCATTATCTCACTAGGAGGTGCGGATAATCTACCCGCGGCCTGTCGTAAGGGGTCCCGACAGCTCTTTTTGACCCTGGCCGTTAAATAGGCCCGTCCGGGCGCCAGTTTATCATGTATGTCAACATCGTACAGTAGTTAACTGAACAGTAAACACACACCACGAAGACGGTGCTTTCTAGTGCATGATTTCCTTACGGGTAAAATGGTTTTTTGTCGGCTTCAGTAAACATGTTCCCAAGAGCTATCCGCAAGAACTCGGAAACCTTTGAGTACGAGTACAGAGGAAGAGGAATATATCTGCTAATATTTGGAAATTAGCAAACTAATGTCACGTGTAAAGTGGAGTCGAGTCGATAGTTGGTGTTAGCATAACGCACCCGGAGGGTTCTTGATCAAATAAAGGCAATACCACAAAATTTATGTGCAAAACCGTTTTATACCGCCCGCTGATGACAACTCTATGCTTGCAAATAATTGTGCAATGCAGCTACCGTATGCCGTATGGTTTCCCTAACAAACTTCACGTTTGTTTAATTGAAACACGCTTCATACCTTTCTTTTTAAAAGTACAGACTCGATGTGGTCGTATCAAACGGACATTGTTTTTCGAATATTAGTGTTTTACACTGAGGTAAACTTGTAAAGATAATGCAGTTTGCAAATACGAAGTTCTTGAAATCCTGGACGGATGAGCTGCCGAATACTTGGCTGCTACTTATCCGCTTAACCGGCTGCGTACAATATCCCCACCGCTTCCCCGGCCAGTGGTGCAGAACAGTCAAAGAATGTACACGGTTTCTAATCCCTACAACCATACTGCTGGTTTCGGCCTTTTTTGGCACGTCGGATATCGTTGACAATATTAAAATCCATTCCACATTTTCCACGCCCAGTCAGCTTCTCATGTCAACATCGTTACTGGCCATGGGAATCCTCTATCCTGCGTTTTTCATCAGCGGGATTTTCGGATTCCAGAATTCTAAATACCATTTGAAGGACGCTAGAAAGTTCTATGCAGCATATTTGCAAATCCGAGACAGAATGATCCTTGGTGTGCTCTGGATTCTGCTGATGCTGCTGTGCTTACTGAACATGGTGGCTTACTGCAGTCACACATATGAGGACTTCCACACCGGTGATCATTTCGGCAACGTATCATCCAATGGTAACGCTACGCTCAACTGGTACAGCGGGTGCATTTCGCTGGTATATCTGATTGGCGACCTCAATCTAGTTGCATTCCAAGGTTTTGTCACTATGTGGTGCTGCTATGTGGGGACTGTGTTTAAAAATATCCGCGTTAAAGCCGCCAGAACCGGCGACTGGAAGGTAGTGCAAGAATGTGCTGCTGACCACGCCTTCCTTAGTACTGTGTGTCTTAAAATGGCGGACGACCTGGGATTAAGCGTATTTTGTTTGATCACCTCGGATTTCGTCTATGCACTGGTTTCTACGGATAATCTCCGTAAAGAATTCACTTTTGCTGGTCTCGAAGAAAGCTTCACAGCAGACACTGTCGGTACGGTGTTTGCCTTGTTGATCACATTCCTGGTATCCATGGTATACGTTCACGATAAGGTACGACCGGTAAATTTGTTACTGCGATTCGTATTTTTCTTGACACTTTAAAGTTGTGACTCTAGGCTCAGGAACTGGGAAAAATCTTGCACGAAAAATTCAACACCCAGAACTCCGAAGAGCACAACAGAATGCTGTTTAATTCTGTATATCGACTACACACCAATCCACCGGGATTTAATGTGGCCGGCATGTGCGTTATAAATCGCGATTTTAGTGGGACGGTACGTTTCGTCTTGCCATAAGTCATGTAACTCAACGCTGCCATAACTGAATAACTATTAAATTGCTTGCAGATGATTGGATTGTTCGCAACATATTTACTACTGACTTGGGACAACTAGTTTCAGGTCCCAAGCCGGGAAATGCGCTGAAGACCTAGGTTTTTCCCTCATGATTATTATTATTATTATAGCAACTACAGTAGCCAAACTCCATTAAAGGAGACTTTAACCCTAAAGTGAAAACTTTTGGGTGTTTAGGCTATTGGAAAATTTTTTTGTTTAATTTTGAAAATTTTAGTCAGTCAGATAATGACAAACAAACACGATATAAATCAACATCAACAAAAAATATAAAAATGGAGTTTCGGGAATCGTGGAATGCTGTTAGCGCCAATGGCAGCTACTTCCTAGTTTATACTCCCGAGGTGGCATTGTCGTACTTCATGCTTGTATTTTACGTAGAATCCGGTGAGACACTAGCACTCTGTAGCAGCTTTTACCAAACAAATGTAGTGTTCGTCACGCAGATAGCGGAGCGCCGGAGAATCGAAGTTGTTGTTGATTTAGCTACCACCAGAGTTGCCTTAATCAAACAATGGAAATATGGGCATAGTTCATTCGTGTATCTGTAAAAGTTTATACTGCAAAATGCAGAGATGCAGCCGTTCAACTGTACTCAATACGACGCACGTCCTAAATATAACGTCTGTTTAGTTGGAACAGTGCATGTTTTGTTTATCCAAAAAGGTATCTAATCGTATCACACTGTTAAGTTGCTTTAACACATTTGCAACACTACTGAGAATACGAAATAATGCCATTTTCAATCGTGGAACTCGTAAAACCTTGGCCGGAGAAGCTGCCAAATGCTTGGCTGCTGCTGATTCGCTTAACCGGTTGCTTAGAATTTCCTTGCCGCTTCCCAGGTCATCAGAGCAAAACAATCATCGAATTTACCCGTTTTTTTATTCCTACAGCCATACTGCTGGTGTCGGCCTTTATCGGCACAGCCGACATCGTTGACAACATTAATAATGACTCCACATTCTCCACGCCCAGTGAGCTTTTAATTTCAACGTCTCTTCTTGCGCTAGGAGTTCTGTATCCCTCATTATTTATTAGCCAGATCCTAGGTATGCAGAATGCCAAACGTCATTTAGACGACGCTAGAAGCGTTTTCCAACCGTATTTGCAAACACAAGATAGAGTGGTCCTTGTCGTCAACTGCATTATTCTGTCGTTGCTGTCCTTGTTGCAAATGGCGTCCGTTTGCAGTCACACATATGACGAATTCCGAACCGGTGAACACTTCGGTAACATACTCGTACTTAACAGTACGCGCAACTGGTACAGTGACTTCATTCCGTTGGTGTATCTGATTGGCGATCTCAATCTGATTGCCTTCCAAGGTTTTATCGTTATATGGTGCTGTTGCGTGGGTATCGTGTTTAAAAAAATTAGCGACAAAGCCGCCGACGCCAGCGAATGGAGAGTATTGCAAGAATGTACTGCTGACCATGCTTTCCTTAGTACTGTATGTCTCCGCATGGCGGACGATCTCGGAATATGCGTTTTTTGCTTGATCGCTTTGGATTTCTTCTATGCATTGGTAGCTACGGATAATCTGCGGAAGGAATTTACTTTTACCAGTATCGAAGAGGATTTCAAATTCGACACTGTTGGCACGGTGTATGCATTATTGAGCGTTTTCGTGTTGTCCATGGTGTACGTTTATGATAAGGTATCGACCGGTCAATCTAATTGTATCATACAGTTACCGTACAGTATATAGCTACATACGTGTTAGATTGTCTTTATCTGCGACTTCATCTAAATTCCACCCTTAGGCACAACAGTTGGGAAAGATCTTGTACGAAAAATTCATTTCCCAAAACTCCGAGGAAAACAACAAAATTTTATTTGCCACGCTGCACAGGCTACAAAGCAGCCCGCCAGGGTTTAACTTGGCCGGCATGTGCGTCATAAACCGCGCTTTTGTTGGAACGGTACTTTTTAACTTTCAGCTTCGTTCTGTTATGTGAAAACAGTGAAATAGTGTTACATTGTTGCATTTGACTTTTGTTTAATTTGTAGATGATTGGACTCTTCGCAACCTACGTGCTTTTGACTTGGGACAAGTAGTTACCCATCACAAGCCGGTAATACAATAGGTACTCGTATTAGGTACTGATAGGCAGGTACTCTGAAATTTGCTCCCTTGTCGCCAGATATTTATATGCACAGACTGTAAATTCTTTTGCCAACCTTTACGGGTATTTGTTTATACTTATACTTTGGTTGTGTGTTTGGATGTGTTTCTGGTGCACACTACTTGCTGACTTTGTTATTACAGTTTGAACCACGAACCGACTGGAGGATTTCCGCTTTTTTGTTCAACACTTTACATAAGTAGATCTGAAGCATGAAATGCATACATTACTGCTCCAGCCGTTAATCAGTGCACATCAGCAAAGAAATACGTGCAGCGTGAGTCATCATTAGAAAAAAATAGAAAAGGGAACGTTTCGGGGTGTTCAACTGGTAAAGACGGTGCTGTTATAAGCTGCCAGCAGGGTCGGGTAACAGCTGCTCCCTGCCCCAGAGGTGGGCTGACACATGGGCTGTGTTGTAGTCCATGCGCCATATGGAACAAAATCTTTAAAATCAATCGTGCAGTATGGCTTGATGGCGCTGATGACCGCTGTACTGATGATACTGCGTTCATCGGTGGACAGAGCGGGCGGGAGCTTCCGCGTGAGAACGGAGAGTTGCGGGTCACCACATATTCCCGTGCTGGCCTTGTAGTTCGCGCAAGTATAGAACAGGATATAGGATGTGTAATCCGTGGCTATTACAACTGACTGGTCAATGCCTGTCAATAAAAATTATTTTGCGCATTACTTGAATAAAAACCTACAAAGAATAAATAAAATAATTCAAATAAAAAAGTAATTATAAAACTGCTGCAACAATAACAGCCATGAAGGTCAGCAAATTCGATAACCTGTATGATTTTATTTGAACCACAGGGCGTTCGTAACTGGTCACGGCATATAGGGAACCAAATTCAGAAAATTTCGCTTTGTATAAAAAGGTAGTGTACTACCGTTGTATGCTTAAAGAAATTTTTATCTGCTTTGGAGAAAAGGGCGTGGCCAAACAAAAAATTAAAGATTTCACAATACCGCACTATACATACAGCGCGAGATTGAAGTTCACTGACAACACTGAACTGCGAATTTTTAAAAATTCTTTATTGGCTAAAATTTCCACGCGTATTCGTTTCTAAAAGTGATTTTTAAATTAGCAAACACGTAAGAAAAAACGTATGTCTGAGAACATGCAGTTTGGTAGCGGTGGCATGGGCCGGCGCGCGTGGGCTTGAGATTTGTCGGTGCTCGACAGCTGCAATGGAATTATAGAAGTACGGCAAAGAAATTGTGAGCATACCTACAGTATAATATTATTATGTAGTGCAGTATTGTGCAACCTTTTAATTGTTCGTTTGGTCAAGTCCCATTCCACACAGCAGACGAAAAATTATTTATTTGCGTACTACGGTAGTATACTACCTTTTTACAATAGATGAAAGTTCTCTGAATTTGGAACCTTGGTAAAAATAATATCTTATGGTATTTTATCTCTCACTTGCTGTTTCCGGTGTGGTACTAAGATCGTACGCTGTCCCTAACTGTCGTCCATCCGTGCTGATATGTGATGCTTCGATCGAGGTCAAGCATGTACCATTTATCGAATAGGCAAGTTCCTGCTGAATGACACTGGCTGGTACATCGGTGGTGGGGTAGTGGCTCTTGCCGAAGCTGGTGAAATAATTGATGTAGTTCGTAATCCCGGACGCATCCACAGCGGCTTGAGTTATGTTGGTCTGCCATACAGAGTAGGCGTACCATGTTCCTGTTATCTGCAACCCTTATGTATCATAATTTGATGATAATCAGCCGTGCCGTTCCCGAAAGGACACAATAGGTAGCACTTCGCGCAGAGAACACTGGACTTTAGTCTCCCACGTGCACTGTTATTAGTGGATTAAAAAACGGTGGATGTCTTGCACAAATGTACAGAGTATCTTTACCTTTTCTGGATCGATAGTCTGCCCGGGAATCGTATTTGGAAGCGGGCAGTTAGAGCTAGGTTGTGGTTGACCGTTGTTGCTTGAGTCGGCGTACAATGCGCGCCCGCTGGCGCCAATGAAGGCGCTAGCACTTGGAGCGAAACATTCTAAAAACAGCATAGAGCTTCTTGCTAACGGTAACAGCAACGATATAAGATAAACTGCGTATACGTTATCAAAGAAAAATATCTAACAAGTTATGACCGAGTTATGGAATTGTCGACAATTGTCTACAGTAATTTTTTATACCAAAATTTTTGCATTAACGTGCCCTTGCCTTACCGTTGAAAACCATCAGAAATATATATACAATTTCTACAAGCATACATTCCATGGTTTAAAAATGTTTGTATAGCTATACGAAACAATTTCTACTTCTAAATGCGCCACATACAAAATCAACAAAATCACGCGACGTTACTAACGAAAAAAAAACGGGTGTACCGGGTATACTTTATTTGTTTATATTATATACCACCATAACGCATACCGCCTTCTACTGCGGTGTTGAATATTTAGTCGCTTAGCTAATATTCCATAAGTGTTCTTTGACACTGCCTTATGAAATTATGCTTGAGTATCAATGAATTATCTTAACATAAAGTCTTCAGTCTTCTCTGGCATGCTATAATATCTGTACATTTGACTCCAAGACGGCACATTGCGCCGACAACGGAACACATTGCCAGCTTTTCAGTTGTCTATCGTTTTCTGTAATAATATCGCGTAATAGACAGTAAAGTGAAATTAAACTCTGTGCTTGAGAAACTGATTTTCGAAATGATTGATTGTCTGTAATGTAATTTTCTGGTAAGCATTCTTCAACTTATCTTTCTCAGTTATATAACAACTAGTGTACAGATAGTATCAGTGTAATTTGTCGTAAGTCTGAGCTTTTGAGTTTGATATAAATATACAAATTCCTGTGTTAACTTTATTTAGTTTTAAACGATGCAGCCTGATACAATAGAAGCAAAAGCTAAACATAGCAACAGTAAAAGCTCAGTAAGCCTATAAATTCATTAAAATTTAATTGATGGCTGAGTGTACGAGTACCGCAGGTTCACTTACAGGTTAATGCTTTTTGGAACTCGCAGCTGTACTTGTATCCATGAATACGCCAATATTAAGATTAGTAGGTTATCGTTATCAGATCTCAACAATGTAAACGTTAGTCCTAAAATTTCATAAATATAGGTAATTTACGTGGCCCTAAAATTATTGACATTTTAAAATAACAATATTAGTATGTTTTCTTCCTTTGTTCAATAAAAAACTGCTCTAATAAGTTAATCAGAAAGAACACTTTTAAATAAAAATAGTCAAATTAAACCAAGCCGTTTTGGATTTTCTGCGCTCGCTTTCTGAATTGCTTTAACTAAATCACTTACACAATCAAAAGTTTTACTTTAAGTTTTACATTAAAGTACAAGGCATATTATTTTACTAAGTCGGTAATGTCTTTCCGACTGCTAACAGGTGAGCTGACAAACTACCGCGAAAGAAAAATACGACCTTTATTGCGATTTCGTTCCTATTCGTATTATGTACACATCAGACTGGGTTAGGTTTCTACTTTCTACATCTGCAAGAGAGGAGAGTGTAGACTGCAGAAGTGGAGACTGCAGAGTGGAGAGTAGTTTAGAGGATGCGATCCTGCAGTCCTGCTGTCACATGGTTTGCCGCCCTCGAATAATGTTTGTAATCTCACAATCAGGGCAATTTTCAGATTGCCCGACCTTTAATAAGGTAAAGGCTACGCAGTTAAAGGTGTACATGTGTCTCCTAATTTGTTTAGAAGGTTTAGAGTGAAGCCGAATGGCAAAGCATAATACAGTGGTTACTGTACGAAATTAATATAATCTGAATAAAAAAACCTTCTCAAAAATCGATAAAACTGCGCTTATTTCCAGCATCAAAACTGTATTTCTACCGGATAGGTCATAGATAATGCGAGATGACGCAGCTTATGAATCGTTTAAATTCCGTTTAGTTAATAATCACTTTCCTAAATGGTCTTTTTTGAAGCAAAATTTCAGCCATTTTCATAAAAGCTCTTCCGCACATAAACAAGCAAGACATGATCTTTGAAGAAACTGAGATTGAGTAGTGTTCGTGTTAATTTTTTACGCTTGCATTTTTGGTAAGATACCCAAAATATGCAGCATTTCCTGTCATGATAGCTATTTAAGCTATATATTATTTTTCCAAAGGAATTGTAAATGTTTTTCAACTCAATACAGCAACAACAGCTTGCTAATCTATAGGTGCTCAGTCAGCTCCCCAGAGTGCAGCTCCCACCTGGTGGTTTCAGGGAATTACAGTAATTGTCAATGCGTCAAAAGCGGAACCTGTACTGGTAGTCTATAGAGCCCTATCAAATGTATAGAGAAGCAGCACTCGAATCTTCTCTTTCTGCCGATCGATATAGCTTAAATTTCCACATAATTTCAACCGGCCATTGACCAAGAAGATCTCCAGATCGTTATACACCTTATCTGTTTTTCGCGAAGTACGTTTTCCATTGGGTTAGCCACAATCATTACCGGTGGTCGGTTAGAACCATGAAATTCCATGAGAATGTCCACATTGGTAGCAATGTTCTGCAAGCATGGCTGACCGCTTTAAAATTCCTTGGGTGGAGCGAGATGTATCAAGTGACGACAAATCGCCGAGAAAAAGCACTCGTTTTTCTGCAACGGCTTTGGTCATTCTGCATCTTCGGGGCTGTGTGCTTTTACTCCATCTGCAGTATAAAGGAGCTCTTGCAGCGGACAAGTCCAATGGCGTCACCCAGTGATCTGCTGGTGTCAACATCCCAGATATTTTTTAGTATCGTCTTTCCGTTGGAGATGCCCTTGGCCGTCTACGCTTTCCGTCATGCGCGGCGCCACCTGCAGTCCTTGGCCGTGTATAATCTGCGCTATCTCAAACCATCTGACAAGAAAGCGACAATCGCGGCCGCATCACTGTGTTTAACGGTTTGTTTAATCGTCATCTGGATTCGTGTGCAGATCATGCTGCCCTGTTGCAATAAAGCGACGGGGAACGATTCGGTATTATTCATCACCGGAACCAGTTTTTGGGAGCATTGTGGGACGTATACAGTTTACGCAAGCCTCGTGCCGGACTTTCTGTCGACCGCAATGCAATTTTTCATAGCGACATGGTGCTTCTGTTTGGCGGTTTTATTTCGCAGGATCGGTAAAGAAAGCAGCAAAAACCAGTATAACGATGTGTCTCGATTCCGACAATGCATCTTCGATCATATCACACTGACCCAGCTCACCGGCGACATCGCCTCTGATGTTGAGTGGCTCGTGTTCTGCTTTGTGGCCGTCATGTTCTTCTTTGCATTAACCGTTTCCGGTGGCATTCGCAATGGCTTTGTCTTCGCCACACGTGAAACATCCTGGGAAGACGGCGTGAACGCTTTCATGGCCGTGGCGGTATTACTGGCCGCCATGACATACCTTTTCGAAAAGGTCAGTAAAAAATTGATTAAAGAGCCGTCAATGCTGCGTTTACTACGTGATTGTGTCGATCGCCGAATGGTCGAAGTGGTTAAAGCCGGGCAAAGAAGATTTAACTCGATTGTACTCGCAAATCCGACAGTTGGGCACCGTCTCATGGGCGAAAGTCTCATTAATTGCGCACTGTGACACTTCTTAGATCCAGGATATGCTGCCGGTGGTCTCCACGATCGTCACAATGGACAAAGTCAAAGACCACAACGACCTCCTGCAAGCGTCGTCACAAATTCAGCTGATGCTGAGCGCGACACCGCCTGGCTTTACAATAGCTGGAGTGTGGGTGGTCAATCGTGAGTTTATAGCGGCGGTAAGTGGTTGTGAATCAAGTAAAATTTTACAGTCGACGTTTCCTATTTAAATTTTTGGTCCCGGAAACCGCTTGCTTGTTGCACTATATTATATTATTTACAGATGATTGGTTTATATGCGACTTACATTCTCCTGACATGGGATAGGAAATGATTCAAATGAAACACTTCCACCACTCTCATTCCGTGGGCTCTCAAGGCACCAGAATGCTTCGCGTTATTGGTAGCTTGATTTTCTATGATTAATCATTTCTGCGAGGTGTGCAGATGTGCTCTGCAAATGATTTTGATTGCTAAATTTTGTGCTCGATTGGAATTACATATACTCGTAGATATTAGGAATTTTCGATGAGTATTGGTGAAAAACTACGTAGTAGTACCTGTACGATATATGACCCTTCTCAAACAGACGGTTCTTCGAGAAAAATAAGGGTTCTGCGGGACTGGTGTATAGTAAGTCGCCTCCCTTGAATTTGTAGTGCCCTGTGTTGGAAATAACCTTATAAAACTCGTGTGACTGCAATTTGATCACACGAAGATACACCAAGAGTGCATATTTTCCGAGCATTATTTGCAGAATGTTGCAGCAGTCTACATAGTAAGTACCGGTATATAGCTATTCGTTGCCGAACATTTTGACTTACCTGAATTCTTGTTTGAATTATTGTCAACAGCAGCACTTGCCCAGACATCCCGGATTCCCGAGGGTCAATTTTGTAGCATTAGCGAATTACACGGGAACTTGTGTAAATAATATGTCAAACAATTCTGATGAATGTTTCAGCCTTATGACTCGCTATTGATCTTTGACAGAATAGTACTCTTTGTGTGTAATCATCTAAAATAAGAAGGTGGAACTGGTGTCTTCGAGTCTAACATACCTTCGAGTAACATACCTTCGAGTCTTCGAGAAAACGGAAAGCCGTAAGCCGCATCGGAATCGGAAATGGTTAACCTCGCAAAGTGGCTAGAGCAGGCGGACGTCGTTGATAAAGTCTTTTACACATGGTCCATCGTGCTGAAAATATTTGGATGGTGCGAGCTGCCCTCGACAGTAAAGGATCGAAATGGCAAAATACTCAGTATCCTACAACGCTTGTGGCCTACCTGCCTCTTCATCAGTGCATGTATCTACAGCATCTGCACTATGAAAACAGTTTACCAAAACTCAGTAGCACCAACCTCACCCAGTGATCTCTTGGCACTAATGTCCCAGATCATTCTGACCCTTGTGTATCCGTTGGAGATTCCATTATCAATCTACGGTTTACGCAAATTTTGCCAGCATGTTGACGCACTTAGCCCTTACAGCGCGCTGTATTTCCAAAAGCGTGATAAAAAAGCCTTTATTATAGCGGCATCTGGATGTTTCCTGTTCTGCTTGGCCAACAATCTTCAAACACTGCCAAATATATGGATGGGGGACCCTCTTTCCACCCATAACATTACAGTGGGCGGTCCCAGCTTTTGGGAGCGCTTATCGGAGCTTAATTTATATTTTTGCTTGTTACCAGATTTGTACCATGGTACTCTGCAAGCTTATATCTGTACATGGTGCATCGGTTTGGCGCTGGTGTTTCAACGTATCGCGAAGGTCAGTGAACAGCATCGACATGGCGACGTGAATACATTTCGACGTTGTATTATGCATCACATCGGCTTGACCGATCTAACGCAGCAGATTGCTAGCGATATGGGATGGCTAGTGTCATACTCAATAACGGTGATGTTTGCCTATGGACTGGGCGTGGCAAACGAAATCCGCAGCAGCCTAGTCTTCGGGACGCGAGTGCGGAATTGGAGCGGTGGATTAAGCGCATTAGCGATCAATTCGGCCTCGTTGGCTGCAATGACCTATCTCCATGACAAGGTTTGTGCTGGGCTGATCACCATCTGGTTTTAGACAACAATATAATTACGGTTGATTCAAGTTTTGAGATTCACCGTATCTAACTACTGTAATTTATCTATCACCTATTCTATTACAAGACATTTAGAGCTCTGTTATTTAATAATCAAACGAACTGTGACAGATTCAGGATATGTCTCCAGTAGTCGCCAGGACAACGACACTGCCAAATATCAAAGACGACAAAGAACTGATACAGATATCGATGCAGATGCAGATCGATTTAAATACAAAGCCGCCTGGTTTCTCCGTTGCCGGCGCTTGGATTGTCAATCGCGAGTTTATCGCTGGGGTGAGAAGAAATTATTTTGCAAACGCCGTTTTTAGGTTGTTGAACCGTTGTTCTAGAATTCAACTGAATTATATAATGGGATTATTTGCTTTGCAGCTGATCGGTGTGTATGCCACATACATTCTCCTGACCTGGGACAGGAAGTGATGGATAGCGACGTAGCAGGATTTCGGTTCGCAAAGCACTATTCCTCAACTGAATTAATTGGGTTTTTATATATACTATCTACGTACATCTTTCGAATGTTCGAATGTTACGTTACTTTTGTTTTATTTCGTGACAAAACGAAATTCATAGCGCGATTATAATTATTCGATGAAAATATTAAAGAGCAGCGCATATAGCGATTAAGGATTTCTCTTGCGCAAATTAAAGCAAATATTTTTTCAACAATGACACGGACTTTGGAAACTGAAACTTTTTCCTGCTTAGAACTGTCATGTGAGATATGCGTTTAACTGGATATCACTGATTTCCCTTGAGTGCGCCTGAATTTACATTGATTACTGTAACACTACGATTTTATTCTACGTAAGCAACAGTTGAACGTCCTAATGCCACCTGACTCTGAAGATTAAGAATGTGAGATCAGTGCACGATAGTCCAAAGGCAAAACTCTGCAATAAACAAACTGCATAAGGCAAACTCTGCAATAAATTTTACCGCGAGCACCATTTTGCGAAAAGCCGCTGAATCCGATGTTACGGTATGTGGTATCTTTCGTCTCCTGTTAAAGCTCACAGCGGCAACATGAAGTGGTTAGAACAAGCGAATGTTTCGAACTATATTCTCGAGAAATGGTGCGTCCTTCTTAAGTTTCTGGGCTGGTGTGAAGTGTATTCGGAAAGGAGAAACCGCTGGCAGAGGTTATGCACGACTGTACAGCGTATCTGGTGCGCCGCGGTATTTAGCGCCACCTGCGTGTACAGCATCTGCTCCTTGAAATTCACGCTTGAAGGCATGCCAAGTATAGTAACACCCAGTGACCTTTTGGTGCTAACCTCACGAATCATTATTTCAGTTGTCTATCCTTGCGAATTTGTTGTCGCGGTGTACTGCTTCCGTAACATCCGTCAGCACATGCGAGCGCTGAGTGTTTTCAGCGAGAAATATCTGTACGAGTGCGATAAAAAAGCGATATTAGCGCTCGGAGTACTTTTGCTACTAAACTGCTTGGCAGTATTTTATACTCGCACAGAGGTTGCTTTTTCTTCTGACCATGTCAGAACTTATAACGGAACCGTGCTATCAACACATGCTGCTTCCATGTGGAGCCGTTTCGCCGCCCATCAAAGTTATTGGAGTCTAATTGGGGATTTCTTCTCCGCAGCCATGCATTGCTACTTATGCATGTGGGCTATTTGTGTGGCCGTCGTGTTTCGCCGCATTGCAAAAGAATGTGCACCGTATTTGGGGACAGAGTGGACCAGATTTCGGCAGCATATAACAGACCACGTTGGCTTAAGCAGGCTGACGGTTCAGGTCGCCGACGAGGTCGGATCGTTAATGTTGTGCTTTGTAGCGGTGTTGTTTTTCTTGACCTTAACCGTTGTGGACGGAATACGGAATGGGTTTGTCTTTGATTCCCCGGATATGAGTTTAAAGGCCGTTAGCGGGCCGTTGACCATACTATTTTACCTCTTGGTCGCCATGGCTTACGCTTTTGAAAAGGTTGGTGAAAACCTTTTAAAAAAGCTGTTTTTAAAATATATATAATAAATATTAATATTTTTTGATCTCACATCCCGGCTTTTATAACTTATAGATCCAAGATATAACGCCAACGGCTACAGCCGCTGTCATGATGGAGGAAACAAAAAGCTGGAGTAACACGCTGTTCACAATGTTGTTGACCTTGAATACGAGACCGCCGGGATTTACCATTGCTGGAATTTGTAACGTGAACCGTGAATTTTTAGCCACTGTACGATTTTCAGCTCGCTTCTTTTTTGGCAAAACATATCACAATAAGATGTATTCAATTAGACATCCACATTTGTACAGCATTTGTATATTTTGTAGATGGTTGGTCTGTTTGCAACTTACATCCTTTTAACCTGGGACAAAAAGTAAGAGAATCCATCGCAAATGCCGACTGTTGACTTAGCCAACAATGTGAGGAGCAACGTCGATGGATCACCCTTTCGATCGAAATAGGGACACACCTTTGCGAGCTAATCTCTCGAGCTAGTGTCAAATGTGTCAATATCAGATGCCCATGCATTGTTGAATATGTAAGCACTCTTGGAGCCGTATAGAGCGAAGTTTAGCGTCACGAATTCAGTGCACTGCATGAATATTGTTAGGTGATATTTTGCGTGTCCTGCTTTTAGTGTTTCGTAATAAATTTGTAGCACTCAAATTTGAAATTAAGTTTTTCCAGTTGTATTTGTCGTTTTGAATGGTAGCGTCTACATTAAAACTGGGTAGCATTTATGTGAAATTTTTCGGTGGTGGCCGCGTTGATCGGAATTACTTACTGTATCTATATACTGCGTAGTTAGTTTTACTGGGCGTAAGAAAGGCGTGATGCCATTGCAACTTGCCAACGGCAAGTTGCCATCACAGATTGCTTGCAAATCGCAATGAACGTGAATCATGTGACCAATTCTTGCGCAAGTAAAAATAAATAAACACTCATCAGTCATCGGTACAGTGCTAACTGATTTCCGCCGGTAAACATCCATGTAGCAACTTCACATGGAGAAGATGTCTCCCAGTGGAACGCTTTGCTGATTGCCCCAATAAGCCTTGGCAAATTCTCCATATCCATGTGACTGCTTTTCATTAAGTATCATTTGCCCGAATGGTAAATTATACGAATTTCTGGATTATTTTTTCTTCTACGGCGTTGAGAAACTGGTATCTCATTAGTGCCAAATCTTTTCCATGGCGCTGTTTTTTGGATGTATCAAAGCTTTACGAACGAAGCTCACAAATTGGATCACTCAAACCGACTCCCCACTGAACATTTTGCGCGCATGGTGCGTCTTCCTGAAAATATTTGGAAGGTACGAACGACCGTCGGACAGTCAAGACCGCTGGCAACGAATATGCAACATCATCCACTTGATTTACTGTACCGGAATAATTTGTGCTGCTTGTCTGTGGGCTGTCTGCAATCTGAAAATGGGCCTGCGTGTAATTAAATCCGTGAATGCCCCCAGTGATCTGCTGGTCTCCGTTTCTACCGTGGCGGGTTCTGTTCTTTCACCAATGTCCGGTATACTAATGTCTTACGGTTTGCGCAACATTCGCCAACACATATCAGCGTTACATCAGTACATGCGATACCTTTCCTTTCCGGACAGGGTCACAGTCGCGGTTGCGGGAGTGTTTGTCGCCGTGTGGTGTCTGCTGTCCTTTCGGCAGCCCATTGGCTCGCTCATATCCTGCTCCTCTTCTGGAGTCCGCAACGATACACATACCGATGCGATTTTCGATTTTTGTGTGGCGCACAATTCGCAGGTCACTTTTATACCTGATTTGCAGTACCTTACCGGACAGTTTTTTGTCGTGATCTTGTGTATTGTACTGGGAATGCTGTTTCGGCGGATTGCCCGTGAATGTACTAACAGTCTGGGGAATGACTGGTCAGTATTCCGGCAGTGCCTGCTGGACCATACTACACTGGGGCAGCTCACTGCACAGATAGCCGGTGATCTGGGACTGCTGATATTATGTTACACTACGGCGCAGTTTTTTGTGGCAATGATGCTGACGTACGGCATCCGAACCAAATCAGTTTTTTTTATGGAGAATCTGAATGTGGAAACCGGGATCGAAGCAGTGATCATTCTAGCCCTGCAACTCGTGGCAATGGTTTTCGTCGCTGAAAAGGTAAGTTTATACCTTATGCATGTTGCTTGAATGACAAAGATATTGACATTCTTCGAATCTTTGTCAACTTTCGAAGCTCCCTGTCGCAGTTTTACAAGCGGAGCCCGACCCGCATTCACTGAAGATTGAGTAAATTTTAAGGATTTTTCAATAGTTCCAGAGAAAATTCGCTACCTACTTCTTACAGGTTCAAGAAATCGCACCAACGATTTCCCTGAGTGCAACCATGGAAAACACCGGATCGCAGGGGAATTTGCCGTACATGTCGTTACAGCTGTTATCGAACTTAAACAGTTCCAATGCACCTGGATTCAGCGTGGCCGGAATATGCGGCATTAATCGAGCATTTTTGGCAGCGGTATTTTTAACTGCTCGCTTTTACATGTATTTTTCGTACCGCCATGCTGTCTGAGTATAAATGTGGCACTAATTGGATTTTTGCATTCCAGATGATCGGCTTGATTTCAACGTATGTCCTTTTAACGTGGGATAAGAATGAAGCAGTTATACACTGCGTTCAGCAGCCTGAATGTTAACAATCATTTTTAACCTGTTTGTATTGCACTATGTAGCAAGGCGATTTCGAGTTACAAACTAATTTCGAAGTTGTGCTTTACATAATCGAAAATCATGCGCAGTGGCCAAAAAGCCAAAACAAAACAAAAACCGAAAGCCAAAACATCTGCGCTGGAATGAATTTTGTGTGAATTGGGTTAAAAGTAACTACAGACGTAGTTATGCTACAAACAATGTCTGCATACGTGTACACTGCACTGCAAAAAGGTTATGCGCACAGTTTGGTAATGCATTTTAAAGAATCTAAGGGAAGGTCCGGTAGAATGATCTCCATTAGCCTACGAGGATGTGCAATACGTACAGTTTCCGTGATAGTTTGACGCTCCATTTTACTCTTGAGATGTTGAACTAAGCGTTCGTTTGGCGTGGTTGGCGACTGGCATTAGTCTAAACCATTTTCTGTTTCTCGCTGATATCAGCATTACTGATATCTTGCACAGCCAGAATTGTTCTGTCGGTTTGAACTTTGGAGGACCGCACTACACTGGCAAACCGCCTAACCCGCCGCTGATGACTGCGCCCTAGTAATTTTGCTATCGGTGGAAATTGTATTAACACATATGGGTACAGTCGTCCCCTGCGGAGTTTCAGTCCCTGCGGAGACGAAATCTCCCAGCGGAGCGTTGTGCTGACTGTTCTCTGAACCCCTGAACCACGATGCTTCTCCTTACCCATGCGGCTGATTTATTTTAATTATTTTGCCAAATTTTACGGATTCTTTGGTGGTAGTCTTCGCACTGCTCTTGAAAGCCTCCGCTTCATCATTTACTTTTACATGTCTTTCCATGGCGTCGTTCTGTGGATATATCAAAGCAATCCCATTGAGATTGACAAGTTGGCTCACTCAAATAGATTCACCGTTGAGCATTTTGCGGGTTTGGTGCGTCGTAATGAAGGTATTTGGATGGTATGAAAAACCACGGGGCCGTAAAACCCGCGGACAACGCTTACGCAACACCTTTCAGTTGGTCTACTGTATAGCGATTATCTGTGCGACATGTCTGTACGCTGTCTGCACCACGAGGATGGGACTGCAACTAGTCAAGTCCGTAACCACGCCTAGTGATCTGTTGGTGTTCGTTTGCTCCGGGGCCGGTTCTGCTGTCTTCCCTGTTTCCAGTTTACTTCTTTCCTACTGTCTGCGCAACATTCGGCAACATTTATCGGCACTACATCAATACATGCGATACCTTCACTTCACGGACCGGGTGACTGTTGCTGCTGCGGGAATGGTGGTATCTGTGCTCTGTTTGCTGTCCTTTTGGCAACCCATAGAATCGCTCGTAACTAGCCGTTCGAGAAGTGTCCTCAATGAAACACACGCCGACCAGCTTTCTGATTTCTGTCTGGCGCATATTGCGTACATTACCTTTATACCTGATTTGCAGTTCCTCACCGCGCAATTTTTTGTTATGATCTGGTGTATTGTGCTAGGATTGGTGTTTCGGCGTATTTCTCGGGAGTGCACGAAGAGTTTAGGGAACGATTGGCCGGTGTTCCGCCAGTGTGTGCTAGACCATACAACACTGAGTCGACTCACGGCGCAGACAGCCGGAGATTTGGGGCTGTTAGTTTTGTGCTACGTCACAGCACAGTTTTTCGTAGCGATGATGCTGACGTATAGCATCCGAACAAACTCTCCCTTTGCTGTTGTTAACATGGCGCTGGAAACGGGGTTCGAAGGAATATTCATGCTGCTACTGCTACTCGGAGCGATGGTGTTCGTCGCCGAAAAGGTTAGTAGCCATTACTACTGGACCCAGTACTGGTGCATAAATTAGTGTTTGTTCCCCGGTAAAACAAATGTTGGGCCGCATTGTATGCTAGCGATTGGCTTGCCAATGCAAGATTGAGTTAACGCCGAAACTTGCATCTTTCTTTACTAAGCACGTTTTATGAACGCCTCCAATAAGTAAAAGGATAAAACCTTACTTTTTACAGATCCAAGAAATCGCACCAGCTGTTTCACTGAGTGTTACTATGAAAGACAGCGGATCGCAGGGAAATTTATTGTTCATGTCGTTACAACTGCTATCAAACTTGAATAGCGTCAATGCACCAGGTTTTAGCGTGGCCGGAATCTGCAGCATTAATCGCAGTTTTTTGGCAACGGTAAGCTTTCAAGTTACTGAAATCCGGAAGTGGTACAGAACTGACTGAACGTTATTTTCTACCCCAGATGGTCGGCTTGGTGGCTACGTATGGCCTTTTGACCTGGGATAAGGACGAAACGATTTCTAATTGCTCCCAGTAACTGGAATGTTAAAATCGGTGTCCAGTTATGTGGAACCAGGATCCTGAGTTACAAGTTTATTTCTCAGTCATGGTGTACGTAAATCCAACATAATGTCTGTACAACAACACATAGTTGTGGGTCGTACCGTAGCGGAAAACTACGAGATTAAATACTTTGTCGGTTGGTAGCATGAAGGCTACGGGATGAAGGCAATATATATAATTATACCTTCAAGTATATGTACTATATTTGCACTCATATGAAGGACTAAGGTGGATTCCCCGAGGTGAACTTTTTTGTCAATGTCGTAGAGATTTAACCATTTAGGTCTAACTGTTGCAAGAGAAGACCTGAACAGCTCCGTACGCAATTTATGTTTTGATATAGCTATTAGGTATAATTTAGACATGTTTATCTTGGCACAGAGGCTCTGTTGACGATCGGCTTCCCGCACCATTATGCACCGCGCACCATTATTCCGTACTAATAAGGCGTACTTCAGGGATGTGAAGATGTGAATTAGATGTAAAGCTTAATGACACTGTTATTTGTACATTTTCTAAATGATTTTAAAGTCGGTAATTTGAATATATTAATTTGCATTTCTTTAGTTCCTCTGCAACGTTGTTCGGGATTTGATTCAGCTAGTGTTGAACTGCGGGATCTCTTTCCCAAGTTAGGAGTACGTAAGTTGCGATTAGACCAATGCCCTACGAGCAGAATGCTTGAATAATAAAGCATACTACTTCCGTAATCCTAATTGTATTAAAGGCCAATGACAGCGTTCAAACCAGTACCGTTGCAATAAAAGCGCGATTGACGATGACCATTCCAGCCAAACTGAAACCCGGAGGAGCGTAGTTCAGGCGATACAAGGTCATAAAAGAAATCATCTGTATTTCTTTTGGCGACTGCGTGGAAAAGTTTGAATGCAAAATCATACCAATGTCCTGCGCCTTGAAAAATCAAGAACGTTAATTTAAACACAAACTGGAAATCGCTTGTACTCAACCGGTGTTTGTCTTACCTTGTCGTATACGTACGCCATAGCCACCAGTGCAATATACGGTAGTGTGAGGAGAATCATGCTGCCTTCGAACTGGAAATCCACCTTCGCGATGTCACTGGGATAACCGTTTCGTATATCATCCACGGTGACCAGCGAATAGAGGAATGTTGACACAGCCATACAAAGTAGGCACATTCCAATCTCGTCTGCCATTTTCAAGCAAGCTGCGCTGAGAATATGATGATCATCGATGCATGTCTTCAAGGCTTCCCAGTGAGTTCCCACTGCGTCCGCTTCGTCAGTAACCTTTTTGAACAGTACTCCCAAAAAGCAACTCCATACAATAATTATGCATTCGAAAGCCAGCTGATTCAAATCGCAAATAAATGAGAGAATGGGATATAATTCGCCATACCTAGCCCAGAAAGACTGTTGCGGCGTAGAAGCATTTGATATGTTGCAAACATAGTCGGAAGTAGATTTGAAAACGCTGCGAACACGTAACGCACTTGAAGATAAAAGGATCACCAAGACACCCGTCCCAGTAATGAGTACAATGATCTTCTCTCGCCGTTGGAAGTAAACGTCACGAAATTGGTTGAATATTTGCAGATGCTGTTTGGCGTTTTGGAAGCCGGTAATTTCGGTCATGAAGCACACTGGATACAGTATGATTATAGAAACCAGTTCGGAGACAAATACCAAGAGATCGCTGGGAGAAGAAAAATGTTCAGCCAACGTGGTCTGCAAGATCTGCTGCAATGAGTACATACTAAAGAGAAAGGCAGAAGCAACCAGGACAAAGACCGGTACAATATACTGCAGAATGGCGTACACCCGTTTACCACAATGCGCCGGTAAAGGCTGCGGAAACTCGCGGCATCCTGTCCATCGTAATAGTGCCAGCCAGAATGAAGGGACGTTTCTGGAGATAAGGTTCACAACGTTTGTATCGCGCTTATCAAATGAGAGATCCTCCAACTCGGGGCACGGCTTAACGTTTGCCATATCTTTACGGGTGTTCAAATTTGAGAAAACTGAGCAATCTGCTGCACTTTGCCACAAACCCCGAGACTAAGGAACCAGCTCGTTGTTCGGATAGGGAAATTCTGCTGCCTCTTATTTAGAACTTAGTAGAAACTTAGAAGAAGGGCAACTTAGTAGAAAATTGCATAGCATAGAAGTTTTATTCCCATCAGACGATGCATCTGTTTGCGCAAAGCGGTGAATATGTTCATATGGGAACATTGTCCTAACAGTAAGGCGCGGGATGCAGTGTTTGCCGACCACTTCTGCTGTCTGTGTTACGGTGTTCTCAACCAGTGAATACTTAACTTATTTAGTTTCCAATAGATTCTAGTTGAAAACTGAACAAAAGCTACTGGGACACCACAGAAAATGCGTACCCAGCGTTCAATAAGGAATCCTCTTGGTGCCGTCCTTCAATGTTTTCGTAGAGGATCCAATCGGCACCAGTAAAAATACGTATTGAGTTTCAGAGCTCTGAGTTACGTCAACCACAAAGTCTGTCTTGCCTGTTTCTTAAACAAACAAGCCGCATGGGTCTAAAGGGACCATTACATTTCACTTTGTAAATTTCACCCATTTTGCGCGCGCTATTAATGCGTCCTACATGCGAGTTTTAGTATAATATACGACCCATCGCTATCATTTCAAAATTCATGTTGTAAATTTGGCAATGTCACTGTCAGAACTAATACAAACATGCATGACGAACTCCGAACCGCTTTCTGTGTCACAGTCGAGTTTATCCGGTAAATTTCACATGGATTTTGTGGACTCCGTATCCAACAGTATTCCAGCCCGTTGGCTGACCGCTATGCGTTGGTTCGGCTGTTGCGAGTTTCCGCAGCCACTACCGAAACATTACGGAAAGAAAATTCTAGGCCTTTTTAAATGCATCGCGCCCGTTTCTGTGGTGATCATGGCGGCTATCATGTACAGTGTTTTCGGCGTTCGAGACGCGTTTCGGGATCGGATGACCAATCATTTCTCATCACCGAGCGACTTACTCTACGTGATTTCACGTTTGGTGATTTTTCTCCTTTACCCAGTATCTTTTGCTTCGCAAATTGCCGGATTACAGAATGCCACACATCATCTGCAAATATTCAATAAAATTCGCGACATTTATTTTACCCGGAAAGACAGAATCGTCCTGTTGGTTATCAGCAGCGTGGTGCTAATGAATTGTCTTATGACGGCTGGTGCACGTCTCTACGGTATTTTTTCGTCAGATTCCGAAGATCGCCGTAACATTACGGACGTTTTTTCTCAACCACATTCAGCGTGGGAACGATATCGCGCCGTAATTCCTTTTATCCTTCTGTTTGGCGATTTTAATCAAATAGCATTCGTGTGCATGATTGTCGTATGGAGCTGCTACTTGGGATTGCTTTTTAAGCGGATCGGTGCGGCAGCAAACAGCTTGGCCGATTCCGATTGGGATGGTGTGAAGCAATGTATTGACGATCATAACACGGTCAGTACGACCTGCCTGAAGCTGGCTGACGACATCGGGATGTGCCTGTTCTGTTTGGCGACAACCAATTTCTTCTATACTCTGACAACAGCCGATACACTGCGGAACGGGATTCAAACGGAAGTCGAGCAGGTCGATTACCACATAGAAACCGCCGTCGTAATGATACTGGCCCTGGCTGTAACCATAGTTGCCATGGTGTACGTTTACGACAAGGTATGTACCTTAGATCGCCCTGTTTCGTATAAAAATTTACCAAACGTCCTCTAACTCACCGATTTTTTCCAACCAGCTTCAGAGTGCAGATTTGCCTTTTTTAAAATTTTAATATTACATTCCGTTAAAAGTTTTCCGATCGAGTTGAAAAATTTAGAACACGAAATGATGGAAGAGTAGTTCCGGTCAACTTCCGCCATCGAAAGCATTTGTATATTTCCAGCGAAATTTTAAGGACATCGGTCCAAACGAGACTTTGGCTCAACAGTTACCTTTTATATTTACACGTTTTGACACTTAGTTTTACCGTAATTCACCAACGGGAAGTTACGCGCACAGACGGTTTTCATATCAATATGTGCAAATCATTTGGCAGTTACATAATGTCATAAAAACATGGGAAAGTGTTTGAACGCGTGTCCGTACATGATCACGAATTTGGTGTACCGGTCACTTCCCTTAACATATATAGCCCAGTTGACCCTTAAACTCAGACTGCGAAACTGTTGTACGCGTGAAATTTCTGAGTGTGTACACGAAACTAAAACTAATTGATAAAAAAGGTCTGCATATCTGCTAGCTTAATTAGGTAACAAATTTAATCTCTTAGGCGCAAGATATCGGCACTGTATTGCAGTCCAAATTCTCACCATCAGCTACAAACGAAATGCATACGATTTGTCTGATGACAACGTATCGTCTCAGTACCGCTCCACCGGGTTTCAATTTGGCCGGCATGGTCGTCATCAATCGTGCCTTTATCGGGACGGTACAGTCTTAAATATAGTCAGAATTATTAGTTCTAATTATGTGTGCCATTATGTGCTGTGCGCCATTAATATTTGCAAAATACTGCAATTGCAGGCTGTTGGCTTGGTGGCGACCTATGTGCTTCTTACCTGGGAACGCAAAGCTTCTCCACCCACTGCTTTGGCACATACGCGACGAGCGATGAACATCACGAACTAACTACCTATTTTCTCATCACCAAGCTGCAGTAAATATTATCGAAATTTATCGTACTTTGTTGCTTTTAAAGTCTTACGCAGATTTTGTCACCGCTCTACAGGAAGAAAGTGGGAGACTCCCAGGCATCTCACTGTTTTTTCAAAAACTTTCCACATATTTCCGTTTTAACTGCGCAACCATAATAACCGAAGCACAACGCTCAAGCACAAATTAATTGCTGTATTGATAAGGATCGTAATCTCGCATTCTCCCAATTACAGACACGGCTACAATTCACAGCTGGTAATATTATTCTATATATATTGCAGCAGCAATGGTGTTACCCAGAAATGACAATTACAATAACCATTCTCGGATTCCCTTAAGCAGAGATATCCTGTTGTGCTTATCCCCCGGTGAATTTTGCTGAGGAGTATATTCATGTGTACCTACGCTTTCCTGAATTTGGGAGGACACCTCGCTATTTGCTAACAGCTTAAAGCCTCGTATACAATGCGGTCGAAAGAACCTCTGCATGTACAGGTCAAAAACGAAAAATGAATACTCTGTGATGGTAAAAGCTGTCTCGCATAAGATCGTATATCCTTACCGTACAACCTTACAGCGTATCAAAGATAAAACCAGTGCACTATTTATTGTATATAATAGATGTTGTACACGCATTCATAGTGGGTGAAATCTGAGCGTTAACTTAAGTATTGTGCCATATAAACTTGGGGTTGTTTTAACTTCACCAGGTCATCAATTAACTAGTCTGCGAATTGCCTGGCGAAAATCTTTCAGTGCTAGCAAGCAAAGAACTGGATTGATCCATGAATTGGCATACAAAGCGAAATACTGTACAGCAAGAAAGGTGTTATTCCAGTAGTCAATCGTATCCACCATAAGCCAGTACACGTGATTAGGTGTCCAGCAGACAATTACGGCCACCACCAGATAGGCCAGGACGCGATTATGAGAGCTCTGTTTCGACACAGTTCGGCGTCTTTGCGTCGTATCACTACCGCCGGAATCTCCCGCTGCTGATTTGGACAAGCCATTGTCGCGTTTTGGTAGCGAAAGAGAATCTAAAAATTAATAGTAATCTGAAGAAATTCATGCTGCATTTTTGGATTTGGAGTGGCATTTTATATACTCCAAAGGTCATCAAATAGCTTGATGTAAATCTGTAGACGTTACGCTGTGTTTTGGATCAAAGTTTTTATGCAGCATTATGGGCTAAGGTCACCAAATGTTGCAATGTAAATCTCAAAAATTTTTACGCAGTGTTTTTGAGCAATTTTTGTATTTAAATTATTGATGAAGGCTAACAAGTACCTTGCTTGTTGGATAAACTGCTTAGCCCGAGTTCCACTTTGATTTTCCGGCGTAAGTGGATTCTGTACGAGACAAGCAGACTTCCCACCACGACGATGATCTCGGTGACGGTAAAACCCAGTATTTCTACTGCCAGCGCTGTTTTCGGCTGGAAATCCGTATTGACTAAGCACTGTTTATCGTGAGGGTTTGCCCACATTCGACCGGGAATAATTACTGGCAACCACAGAACATTGACAAAAATCCACGTAAGTGTTATGATACTGCAGGTCAAGCGCATATTCTGGTTTCGTTTATAGTGTACCGGATAACTGACGGCCCACAAGCGGTTGAGTGTAATAAGAACGTGCCCGTAGCGGACAGCGCTGCCAAAAACATTTATACAATACTGAAAAAAAGAGCAGGCCGTTGCGCTGTACGGGAAGTAACCGTACAGACCGCGGATAAAATTTCCCGGCATTCCGGTGCCGGCAAACAGAACTTCCGCTGTGCATAGGTTGGCGATTAAGGCGTTGAAGCTGCTGCGCAACGAATGTTCCTTGAAATAAATAAACACGATTAAACCGTTGAGAAGGATGGATGCTACGAGGGAAAATCCGAGGAAGCCGGTTAATAGAGACACAGTAGGGTTGGCGTTTGCGGCTTGTGTGGCATTGGAAAGAAGCGTAACGACGCGTTTCGGGTCATCTGGCGGCAGCAAACCAGTGGTGTTTACTGAATCATTGAAAAAGATGTTTTGATTCATTATTGCATTGTGCGAGACTCACTGCAAGGAAAAAAACTGTCCAGCTTTTTAGAAATCCAGCGCAAATAACTGGCAACACTGTTCGACTCAGACTGACTGCTCCAATCGTGCGCCTTGACTGAAGACGCAGAAATATTTATTACAAAACTCCTCCATAATTATAGTGAGGGGCCTTTAAATAGATGACGATACCCCACGGTTTTCCAAGATTCTGGGCTTTGCCGACTTTGCGTAGTTGGGAACGCCTTTTTTTTATAGATCACGAGTCACGAGCAATTACCCACGCAGCATGTCGTATACTTTGATGAAAGAACCACGCATAATACATTGTAATCTAATTTGGTGTTCTCAGATTCTATTATGCGGTGTGAGATCATACCGCTCGGATAAAAGACCCCGTAACACCGGAAACAAGTTGTATCCGCTAATTTGTCATCTTTGCACCAGGGATCAAGTCTGTACGTATGTACATCCGGGATCATGTGCATGCTTTTGACATACTGTTATTAGAGCGCTCGCTTAATAAGCTGTTTGAAAACTGATTACAGTGCGCTATTGATCAATTACTTATCAACTATTTAGATACAGATCTGTAGTAAACAAATAACAAAAGAAGTTTTTCTTTTTTCTGATAACTTGCATTTGATTCTTATTAAAGAAAGCCGTTTATTCGCTTACCCGAAATACAAGCCACTCCGTAGCTGTAACCGCTTCGATTTGAAGGCGGTACGAAAGGACAAGGATCTGCTTTCGACAAGATGCTTTTGAGTCCGAAAACGAAAAAAAACGGCCGAACAGAATTTCGGCTTACAACCTACAGATACCTTCCCACACACCGGCAAATAATACGCAGTAATCCTGATCAAGCAATAAAAGAAACAATTTGAAACCGGATGCCTTTCGGATGGGTATAGAATTGAACGCATTCATGTACAGACACAATTTAGTGTTACATAGATCTTTTAATTAATCAGACCTACTCGCCTCTCTAGAGTGAAGCGCAAGATAATATTGTTCAGTTTCGTTTTGCGCTATTAAAGTTGATAATTGTTTATATGCACTAAAAAAATGCCGCGTCGCGGCCTTGATATGAAATTCAAGATGGAGGTTGTGGAGTACGCGAAGACAACCAGCATTCGACAGACTGCCCTGAAATACAACGTCGACCGAAAGCAAGTAAAGGAATGGTGCCAGAATGAGCTTTCTATTAAAAAAGCTATGGAAGAAAGTAAATACACTACGATTAGTACACGTATCCAGAATTTTTTGTGGGTGGGTACAGTAACCACAGATAATTTCAATGTTTCTCCCAAGTATATTTTAATTTCAAAAAATAGCTTAGTTTTTATTTGAAGACCCTACGGCGAGAAAGAGACTGGGAGGAGCGGGACGTCCGATGGAAAACCCAGAAATGGAGTTGGCACTGCATAAGTGGATTCTTGAACAGAGAGTAAGGAAGCTGTCACTATCAAGCGCCATCATATTAGCACCAGCCGCTCGGATTTCACAGTCGCTGAGGAAGAGCTTTGCCGGATCACACAGCTGGCTTCAGCGTTTTCTGAAGCGCAGAGGATTGTGTCGGGAACGCCGCACTACCACAGCTCAAGCTCCACCTTCTGATTCTGTTGATCGCAGCGAGTCCGACTCTGCGTAAATGTAATGCTGCTGTTGTACAGTGCGACAGGCAATTTCTTGAGGCATGTGTTGGGTGCAGTGCAGAAGTCACAAGAAGTGGCCAGGCCTCTGCTTCGTTATACTGTACTTTTTTATGCTACTTTTACGATTGATCAACCGGAGCGTAGCGGAGGTCCTCTATGTTCAAGACTAATGCATTTGTTGATTTTTGTCCGTTACGGACGTTTGTTATGAAAGGTTGTTACAGAAGCAACGCTATGAAGTCACGCTGCTGACCACTGTGACGTCACCTCAGCTGGTGTACATATATGAAGTCATTGCTGACTTCCGTATCGGCCTTATACAGTGGTGCCGTATATCTTGATTTCTGTTGATGTAGATAGCGCATGACATTTCGACGTACAAATGCATCCCACGAAACAGCGTAATGCACACGACTGACACGAGTGACCGGCAATAATGGCTTCCGGCAAAAATATCCTCATGGAAAATTTTTCTGTACTTCTATCTTATTCCCTGCGCCCAGCCGAGATGCCGGGATGGTACTGAATTTTGGCAACTTAGCCACCGGTTTCGCAGCTCGAAGGTAATGCTCACCTTTGGCTTGGAGACTGCGTTTAATACCGTTCAGACGGTTCCGTTGATGACTAAAAGCACGAATTTTTAAAGTTTACATCAACCGCACGAACGCAACTGCCGTCCCGTAACACTGGGCTCAAAAATCCGCTCTTGATTTAGCTGGAAAACAATGACCTTTTCGTTACAATGGCGACAATACCGCGACCACTGCTCAGTTTTGTCTACTTAACAACTACTTAGCAGCTGTTCAATTTTGTCACCTTTCATAATTGCAAGCGTCGAATAAATCTAAAAAGCCTAGAAAACGGTCAAAATTCAGGTCGACAGTAAGAGTGCTTAACATGGAGCACTACCAGAGGTCGTGGTTTGTTTGGGTCATTTTTTCCGGTCATGCACGCCAGAGCATCTACTTTTGAATTGCCATCTGCCATGATCAGTCCCGGTCTGCAAGAAAATCTTGCACCTTCCCCGATACCTTATCAACGTTTTGCCACAAAACAGCGTATTAAACATAAACACAGACCGTAAACATAAACAACCGTTTCAGTAGCGAGTGCTTCTAATTTTAATTTTTAGCTAACTGTGGTCATTTCTGAGTTCTGCCCTGCCTGCACACGAGCACTTCCCGCTAAATTAAGAAAGTATTAAGAATATGCGGCAAAATTATCTAGATGTGGACGAGGTCACACACGTTACTTTCCGGGCATGTACTTTCCGGACGTGTCAGGGCGTTCAGCGCCCCACCGGTCTTGCTATCCTGACTGTCGCCCGGAAGCGGCTCCTGCGCCCCGGGAGCGGGTGCGCCGGGGTCTCGGCGGCGGAGTGCCGGGGGTCGGGCAGGAGGCGCCCACGAGGGCGGCGGCGTCGTGAAAGTCGGGGTGGCGCGTGTTGACGTAGGCCAGCTCGGTGCCCACCAGCTGTCAAGGAGGCGTGGTTTCTCTGTTCAACCGCACATGGACGGCTTTGAAGTTTTCTTGGTGGATAGCGTTAGCGATTGGACCTGCATTTTTGTTACTCTGATAGTCTCTTTAAATCATTCTCTTTAAATGATATATAAACTCGTTCACATTTGCTCATTCAAAGAACTTAGTTTTTAATAGATTATAACTTAGAATTATGGCTGCATAAAAAAATTAAAATAAAGTAAACGCAGACGTATCGAAATTCCTAATAAAAGCGATAATATGTAAATATGCGGACGCCGCCTCGGTAGGGCAGTCAGCTGCAACGCGAATTAATTTCCAGTTTTGACAAATCTGATTCGTGAATTCCTCGATCAGTCTTCGATTTTTCTTTTGATTTTTGATGATTAATTTTGATCTTTTTACGAGTATTTCTAAATCTGTACTACCAAGTCTACCATCCCCAGACCGCGTTTCCCCGGTTTTTATAACAGTACTGGAATTTTTTGTAGTACTGTACCCATCCGGTCTTGCAGAAACCTTGGTTACACGAATTTATCGGTTAAGCGGTAACTTAAGCCCGACGCTACGACGTTGTGGCATCGTGTCGCAGCGCCACCCGCCCGGCAGTGGAGACAAACCCCCGTGATTACTCCATCAGCCTGCCCCCACCCACGCCTCCCTCTCCACCTACGACGCCGGCTCGGATCGGCGGGTGACCGCGTCCCGTCTGGAGACCCTCTGGGAGGTGTCTCCCGACAACGCTGGAGTTGGGCCTCCTGCAATCCTCCCAGGACCCCGCGCGCCAACTGTGCCTCGATGAATCCATTGTCATCTTGTCCGACTCCATCCCCAAGTTCACCATTATCTGGTGACTGGTGCTGCCCCTGGAGCCCATCGACTCCGTCCAGGATTTGACGCGGGAGAATGTGCCATTGTTGCGGCATATGATCCAGCGGGCGCAATGCTTTGCGAATGAGCAGATTCGACCGAAAACGCACTATCCGCTGGTGCTGGGGTTCCATACGATTCCGACGTATGCACATATTCTCATTCCGGCTGCATATGCACATTATTACCGTGGATTTTCAGGGGCCAGGTTAGTGCGCTTCTTGTCGAATTGAATACTAATTTTTAGAGAATTCGCTGGCCTAATTAATTCTGCTATTTTCTTCTGATTTCTTAAATTTGAATTTTTTAAATTTTATTTTTGTAATAATTTTTGTGGTTTATTTAATTAATCTTGATATTTTTCTTTCTCTAATTTTTCGTTGATTTGTTTGATTTTGCTCCGAAATAGTTTTCTGCTTGTGGTTTTTGTCAGATTAAAAATTGAAAAAAAATTAAAAATCGTTTTTGCCAGATGCCTCAGTTAAAATCGAGAATTATTATTTATTTTACCCGTACTTTTTTCCGCACGGTTTGATTTTCTGTATTTTTTTCTAGGCGCGGTGGGGCCGGCGGACTATCGCTCCTTCAGTCACAGGGCGCTGTTCATTATATCGGCACTTTATAGGCGGAAGGGCAGATCATGGTTGACAAGGAGCAGCCCAAACTTGTGAACACGGATTTAACCGAGCCGCTCTGTGCGTCTTCTGCCGGCAACCTTTTCCGGCTAACAAGATGGCCGAACTGAAGAAACATCTCGCCGCCCGCGAGGCCGACCTGCACGCCGCCGAGACGGAGGATGAGGATGCCGGTTATGTCTGACAATTCCAGGTCAATTAAATTCAATTACAATTCTTAGCCGAATCATGAATTTTGTGATGGATACAGTGAGCGCCGATATTGAGACAGTTAATTTAAATTGATTTTTTAGTGTTGTAAATTAATTCTTTTTAAATTAGTTGTTTTGACGGTTTATTTTTATTTGCTATGGATTAA